TAGCGATAAATAATATAGGTACTCGTACTTACTGCTAACAATCATTCATATAATACTCAAAATTTGTGAGAAGTACAGGCTTTTTTATTTCATTTTTATTTATTTAATTATTAAAAACATTAACGCTGAACGCTGAAATGTTACTTTCGAACCTAAACAAAAGTACTTAGGAATGGAAATGATCAAGTAAGTAGTATGTAGAAATAAGGGACATAAAAGAAAGTTTATTATTCTCAAAAACACAAAGCAAATCCAATACCTATTTTATTTTCTTAACATGTATGTTTATCGATATTGGATACCATCAAACTGTGTTTGAAAGATCCCAAACAATGAATATGTAACCTGAGACGAGAAAACGTTCGAGGAATTTAAACCCACGGTCCTTGTGTATAAGGTGTTATATTGAATGAATTATTATTATGTTCATTCAATAAGGAGATCGTGTCATTTATTAATATAACTTTACCACAGTAAGTAGTATTATTTTTTAAATGTGTAATATGTTTTGCAGATTAATGATAATATGGAAAGGACACAACTAAATAAATTTTTCAGTATTTTATTTGTATCTATACAGGGTGACTGGTGAATTACTATCAATATTTGAGGACGTGATATTTGACGATCATATATGAAAAAATAAAAATTAATATAACATAAATATTAATAACCTTCTAAGTAAAGTTAACCAAAAGTTATGTAATTAACTACGCATCGTGTGAACACCCTACAGATTAGGTATACACACACAAACACAGGTAAACTTCTTGTGAAACATTGGATTCATAGGAAGCTTTTGTGCACTCTGATTATCATTGAATAAATCTATGGTATACAAATTTTGTGTAACTTCATATAGTAAATTAGTCAAATAAGTAGCTTCTTTACAAGCTTCTGTTATAGCCATATATTCGGCCTCACTGCTAGACAAAGCTTTTTTGTTTCCCAAGAAATTACACAACCAGATAAAGTGAAACAATATCCTATAAGTATATGACTTCCTATCTATAACATTTGCACCCCAATCTGCATCTACATATCCTTCTATTATTGGATTCCCATCAGCAGTGTACTTTAAACCATAATTTTTAGTCTGTTTTAAATATCTTAATAGACGCTTTACATATGCACAATGTTCCCTGGTATGGCAGTTGTTAAATTGACTCAAAAAACCAACTGTATAAGTAATATCAGGTCTGGTTAGAACGGCTAAGTACATTAGACAACAAATAATTTACTGATATGGGTATTTTCCCACATAGCTTTCCCCCTTAGATACATGCAACTTAGTTTCCATGGGAGTCTGAATGGGTTTGCATTGACTCATGTTAAATTTATGTAACACCTGATCAATATAATTAGACTGTGACAATGTGATAGTTTTCTCAGATTTATTAACACCAAGACACTTTTTGATTTCACCTAAATCTTTAAGTTTGAAATGGCTAGCTAATACATTTTTTAAACATTCTGTTTCTTTAGAATCATTCGAAAAAATGAAGAAATCATCTATAAAAAGTGTCATAATAGTTCTTAAATTATTTCTAATTTTTGTGTACATATTACATGGTTCTATCTTAGATCTCTTATAACCAATATTTAACAAACATTCATCTGCTTTCCTGTACCATGCTCTCGAAGACTGTTTAAGCCAATAAATTGCCTTTTTTAACTTAAGTACTTGACCGTCATGAGTCTGCCCAGAAAATCCCTCTGGCACATGCATAAAAATGGTTTCATCAAGAGCACCATTCAGGAATGCTGTAGTTACATCAAGATGAGTAATGTCAAATCCTAACTTAACTGACAGTACAAATAGTAATCTCAATGTAGTATGCCTCACAACAGGAGAAAATGTTTGTGTGTAGTCTATACCTTCAATTTGTGAAAAGCCTTTAGCAACTAATCGTGCACGGAACCGAACTTTGTTATCACTGTCACATTTTTTACGCAGCACCCATTTATACTGCACAACCCTACCATCTTGGGGACTGTCACATAATTCCCATGCATCATCATCTTTATGTAATCAAAAGCGTATTACAGAAATATACCTAACTGTGAACGTGAATAGTATCCCACTTCTGAATTTAGGATTCTAACAAAAGCTAAACAGTGGATGTTGGCCATGCAAGAAGAACTACAGTGTTTCAAAGAAAATGATGCATGGGAATTATGTGACAGTCCCCAAGATGGTAGGGCATAAATAAATAAAATAACAGCCTTTTATTTCCTAATTAAGCAATTGTTACACTCCACTAAAACTATTCGACTATAACTAGATATGCTATGATTAATTTACATTTTTTTTTTTAATGTTATTTATATAATTTATTACAGATTAAAGAAGTATTTAAATATAGTTAAGTCATGATGTTAGCACAATAGATACCGAATACCAGATTTATGGTTTATTTAATTAGGAACCCCTCTCAGGCGAAGGCCTCTTCCAAGGATTGCCATTCGTCTCGATTTTGGGCTATTTGCCTCCATTGTGGCTCAGCTATTGTTCCGATGTCGTCCTCCCAGCGCGCGTAGAGTCTCGCTTTGTAGCGTTTGATTACATAAAAAGTAATAAATAAAACGAAACACGAATTATGTTTTAAAATTTATTTTATTTCAACAGTTACTTGCGTGTGAATATGACTGATAGATAACACTAGTTTAGCAACAAGTCGCGTCGAGAAGACAAGGACAGATAGTTTTGGAACAGAACTTGATCTAAGAATGTAAGTTTGGATCACGGTCGAGAAGTAAGACACATTCTTTTTCAGGCCACCCTATTACGTTTCAGTACATTAGAAATTGAACGCTCTACGTCAAGTAAAAACGAACCAAATAAAAAACAAGGTTAAACTTTTCATAAGAAATTCAAAAAAATCAACTATCAACTGTATCCTGCATGAGTCAGTCAATTTCTTAATAAACGTTTGCATTTAATACCTAATCGTTATGTTCTAAAACATGGTTTAAACATAATATAAAAAAACAAATCAATGCCATTAACTTGACGGTATTTTTAAGAATTTGACTGTATTTTACATGTAAATGAATATTTGCAAAAATATATTGTGATGCAACAGTCAATATATCAATATATTTATTTAAACAGTTATCTTATACATTACCTTATTCGGCCTCCTAAACGGTACATAGATACCACAGCTCGTTTTCTATATTATTCGAATACTATTGTAGAAAATTTTTACATAATTAAAGTGTATTAAAAGAATATTTATTAAATGAGTGACGTTGTGTTTTAAAACCACACAAAACAGATCAGTATAATGGATTCGTGTCCATTCCAAGAAACCGGAAACTCATTTCATTCTTTGGAATCAAACAGTGTCAAATACTATACGCGTGTGTCGTGACCTTGTAGTTTTATGAGGTCTACTGACCTAAGTCTGGTCGGGTACTCCTGACCTTTGATGATGCCGACAACTTACCGCTCACTATAACACACAATGCCGATGATCAAAACTATGAATACACTCTTTTTTTTAATGGATATTTTAATTTGCTATGTAATTCTGTTTATGGTACCTAGAGTTCGTAATTCGCATAAGTCCAATTTTCCAAATTTAAAAAAAACATATTTTTCTGCGTCTCATATGTTACCGACATATAATTTCTTGATATGGAATATCATATTTTGCTTTTATAGACTAATTTTTGTTAAGTACCAGGTTTTCTTTTAAAAGGATATTATCTAATTTGTCTTTTGGAATATGGTAAGATTAAAAAAATAAAAAGGGAATTGTTAAGCATCAAGCTGCTTTTTTTTTGTGATCTGCACATCGGATTATAAAAAAATAAAGGTATATTAGACATAGAATCTCTAAGCTTATGCCCCGAATTCCTATACTTACTCTCTGAAACTACCCTCAGTCCTATCTGCAAGACGCTAGAGTTGTGCAGGCTTGGTCTCGTTCTCGCTTTAATGTCACACAGTCAGTCTCGTTCTTGCTAAAGTTATCCGGTCACCGTTTTGTCAACAAGACCGATTTCGTGTAACACTATTCGTCACTATAATATGGGAAGCAAAATTCAAACAAACGTAAAATATAAGTATTACTTGTACTTTTATTCGCTTCATTAGTTGTGTCAAAATGTATCATATAACAATAGTTAAATAATTTATGAACAGTTCAATAGTCGCGAACCATCTCCGTAACAAAACGAGCGCGCACCGCTCGGCGATCGTTAGCAGTCAGTCAGGTCGCCGGCGGACGCTCTACTCTACTGTACATATACAAAAATAGATTCCTTACAATAATATCCTAGAAGGAGAGAGGTTTGTAAATGCATAGTTAAGGTCATGATATGAAACTATAGTCGGAGCACCATTGTATATAAACATACGGCGACCGTCGCCGCGCCGGCCGCGTCTCACACACACACACACCGCCCGCGGGCTCACGCGCAGGCTATACTTTATATACATAAATATGACAAAGATTCATTTCTTTCGATTCTATTTACATTGAGTTCCTCTTACGTCGACGCGGCGGTCGAGGTCCGGTCGCCAAACTTACTTAAATATGACACTACAATATACAATTTACACTTAAAGTACATTTTCATTCTCACACTTCACTTCTCAAGTATTCCAAAGCGAATGCTCCGTTATCACAACAGCGAGTGAGTCATAACCTCCTCGCCGCCTCATCGACACACACTCATCTCATTCTTAGAGAATTCATTCAACGATGTCGGTCTTTGCAACCGACGGGTTTAATATTAAAGCTAAATATATATAATATGTAATCGTAATTATGACGTGTTATATTTACAATTATTAGACATCTTCAAAAAAAAAATTTCATTGCCAAAACAAATCGTCCCATTAAATTTCTTCTTCCCTTTTACGCAAAGACAGCGCGAGTGTACACGAGCCCCGGTACAGTCCTCATCGATCCTAACGTAATGTCGTTCAGTTCGTCACAGAACACCGCTCCGTGTGACCAGCCGCTCCCGCCGGCCGCCGGCCGCCGTCACACGTCCGTGTGGCGCCGCGTGTCGCCGGGCGCGTCCTCGGCCTCCGACTCCTCTATCTCGCACAGGTTGGCGGACAGGTCGCTGCACGAGTCGTCCAGCAACGAATGACGCTCCTCTGAAACGGAAACAATCAATGTTAGTCTTAGCCGAAACCCATAAACCTATCTGCATACATGTAAATGAAGCTCTTTTATTCTTCATTTAATTTAATAATTACACTTACTATAATTTATTATCTATGGTAGCACCACTTTTTACTCTGCATTCATAATATATTTTAATTTGTAGAAAAAGGCTCTCTGGTTTTGTACGTTTAAGTTTAACAAGATATTTGAAAAGGAATAACGATTGTTTGAAATAGAAATTGAAGCAATAGCTTTTAATGTGGTTTCTCTTTACAGGTTAGTAAATAATATAATGTTAATTTGTACTAGATATAAAGGTAGTCGTAAATTGTGTTTTGTAGATTAATATTGTATCAAACTTTCAAAAATAAATTTCTCTTTACAGAGCAACAATTACAGTTTTTTGTTTCAATTAACAACATATTACATACAGTTAATGGAATTGAATATGACTGATATATCATATCAGAGGAGATCGACATTATTGAACCGGGGCTTATAGTGTGGGCGATCGGAAAATTTATATTTATAATTTTAATGTGAGCGAGTCGAGGTCGCCACGGACAAAAATATACTGTTTGCTTTGTTTTTTAAATTTTCAATTTATTACGTTAACAGTCATAAGTACAATGAAACAATTACGAGGAAAGCTTAATACGAAACATTTTTTTTTAAATCGTGACGTATGAATAGGGACAGAACATAAACGAGTGAGTGAAAGAATCGAGTCAGACGCTCGAATCATTTCTGAAAGTGAACATGTAGCTCGGAACCCACCCAGCATGGTGATGAGGCTGTGCGCGTCCGGCTCGCGGACGGAGCGCGCGCGGAGAGTGGCGTCCTCACCCGCCGCCGAGAACTCGTCCGCGTGCAACAGATACGACGAGGCTGAGGGAGAAGAGGCGCGTTAGAGGTCATCACACACACTGACGGGAGGAAGGAGATCGACTCACCGTCCGTGAAACGGAGAGGATCCAGGTCATCCGTCGCCGAGTCGGTGTCCAGAGGGAGGGGCGGGGGGCGCCTCGGGGGACGGGGCGAGCGGGGCGAGGGCGGGGAGGGGGCGGAGGACGAGTCCGGCCGCTCGGAGCCCGCCACCTCGCTGATGCCGGGCAGCGCGCCGCCGCCGCACCAGTCCGAGCAGTCCCAGTGGTAGCCGCCCACCATATGAGGCTCGCCCGTGCCGCGCCGCGCGCCCGCCGGCGACCCGAGGCGGACCAGCGTGTTGCAGCCCTTCAGGTCTGAAAAGGTGACGGTATGTTAACCGAGACGATCACTAGCGGTCACCGCGCGACTGTTATACGAGTATCGTGTATTACCGTTATAAATTTTGTTATCGACGAAAGTGTGCAGATGCATCTGTTCCGACCAGGGTTTGCGGTCCACGGAATCGATATTTAAGTTTCTCAAATAATCCGGTGGAATACCCTCGAGCTCGTCTCCGGCGGACCCGTACGACCGTAAGGTGTCTATGTTGTTGAGAGGAGGCGGGTCCGCGCAGGACGCGGGCCGACCTCTTCGTACAGCCTCTAAGTTACTCAGTTTAGAAGCACGCGGAGGCAATTTTTCAACGGCGCTATTGAGAGGTGCGGGAGGAGGGCGGGGACGGCGCGAGCGTCTCCAGAGCGCCGGCAGTAGGGCCAATATCACTAAAAGCACGACCGCCATAACGGCCACAGCGAGCGGCCAGCGCGCCTCTAGTGCCCAGGCCCAAAGTTCACGAAGAGCGCGTCCTCCGCCCGCTGCATCTCCAGCGACGACGGCGTCAGAGTATAAAGGATTACCACAGTTCATTCCTGAAAATATGTAAACATAATTATAATATAACTTCTTTTACTCGATAAACATTAAACTTCGTATTACATGGAAAGAGAGCTATATACGTCAGTCAGTGAATTCAATTAGATTCTACATTATTGATGGCAGAGCATATAGTACTCATTACTGATAAGACATAAACAATTAGGCTATATAAAACGAATGTGTCAAACTTTCAATAGTATTGAATGGATAAAAAAATTATATTTTACTTATGTACGATGTATATTAGAATACGGTTTAGTATATGGTCTCCCAATTATATAACATAATATAAAGAAAAATTGGAAAGAATACAAAAAAAGTTCATAAAATTTCTTTGCTTTAAGGACTTTAAAGAATTTAACGATTATGTTGATATATGTAAACAATATAATATTGAAACATTGGAAACGAGACGACGACATTATGATATGTATATGCTACATGCAATAATTACCGGAGATATAGATTGCACCGAGTTATTAATTATTCCACACGCCTGAGCTAAACACCAACTATGCACACAACTCTGTCCTTAATCGCTTGGTCCACACATATAATTCACAATACTCAGAAATTGATCTGTTCAGCATCTCAAAACTAGCTTTTAAAAAAGCTATAATTAAAAAAGATAAATATTCATAATACACCCACACACACACACACACACACACACACACACACACACACACACACACACACACACACACAATCATGCAAACACGCACCTATTGGATTCCCACCCGTAAACAATTTTACCTTTATATTTCTTTTATACTATAAGTTTTACTTTTATGAGACCGTCTTCTAGTTATTAATATGTTTAAGTTACCTGTGTAATGCTATTTTGGTTTTAATTTTATGTTATATAATAGTTAATATAGAAACTTATGTATAAAAGTTGTTGGATTACCAAATAAATAAAATAAAATAAAAAATACCTGTCTTATCCGGAGGACAAAGGCATCGGAAAGATCCGGGCTCGTTCAGGCAAGTCGCTCCGTTAAGGCACGGTTCTCCGACACACTCGTCCACGTCGTACTGGCAGCGCGGTCCGTAGTACCCGCGGCACCGGCACGACGGGCCCCACTCGCCCTCCTCGCACGAGCCGCCGTGCGCGCACACGCCGGCGCCGCACCACCGGCCTCGCTCGCAGCGCGCGCCCCCCAGCCCCGCCCCACACGAACACCGGAAGGAGCCCGCTCCCTCCGCCGTGCAGAAGCCTCCGTGCAGACACGGCTGGGAAGCGCAGGGATCGGTGTCTATCTCACATTGCTTGCCGAGGAAACGAGCGTGGCACGAACATTCAAAGGCCGCCGAAGAGATGACTTCGTCTGGTCGGACCATAGATTCTCGACACGTGCCTCCGTTGAGACATGGCTGCGAGGCACAGGGACCGGGGGGCGGCAAGGCCGGGCACGAAGAAGACACGCGGACCCGAACTCGTCGCACTAGTTGCGCTCTCAGATCATTAGAGGTCCTTCCTTCATCCAGAGGTAATAAGGCTCCGCTTAACTTTATGTCAGACAGACAACCGTGAAATCCGTATGTTACCTGAGTGACAAAAAGAGTATCGTCCGATTAATGACATTTTTTTTTTATCTTTTCACAATTTTAAGTATCAACTGGTTTAGTTATCTATATAAATATAAGAAAATCGTGTTAATTACTCCACTTATAACTCAAGAACGGCTAAACCGATTTTTAATCACCAAACGAAATGTTATATAAAAGCCTTCTGGTGGCGAAACGGAGTTCGCCGGGTTTACTAGTATTTAATAAAATTTTATCAAAATGTAGAACTAACTGATATTACAAAAATACTTTAGAAAGTTATAAACCTGTTCAGGTGCTAAAGCATGAGCGTGTCGCTGCAACATGGCCCCGAGCAGCAGCCGGTCGGCGCGAGCGTCGAGCACGGCGGCCGGCGGCGGGGCCTGCGCCTGCGCCGTGCGCCGGTCCACCGCGAGCCTCACGCCCGCTCCTCGTCGCTCCAGGCGCAGCTCGTGCCACTCCCCGTCGGCCACGGCGCCGCCCGCACGCACCCTCGCCACCCCGGATCCTAGTTCCATACGAAATTGCACCTGCCCCTCCACTATCTCCAGAATGGCGAAATCTACTCTTCCAGCGGCGTAAAGCAGTGTGCCGCGAGGTCTTCGTGTGCGAAATCGTAACGAGACCACGAGCTCGTCGTCGAGTAACCGAGCACCTTCTACTACACCTCGTTCTAGTCTGTATGCAAGATAACCGTCTCCCGAAAAATAAGCTACCGACGAAGAGATTCGACATTCATCGCTATTACAACATCGAACACCGGGTGGGATTAAAGCTGGATCACAGCTGGCGACATTACACTCACATATACCTCCGAGGGCCGTGGTTTCTTCGTATGCGCGCTCACATCTGTCTCCGGTGTAACCCGGCGTACAGACACACTCGCCCCGCAGTTGATGGGTGGGCGCTACCAGGGAAAATACGTCAGTGGCTACTGCGTTGGCATTCGCGGTCGCCAGGACGACTCTCTCACTGCAAGTACCCTGAATACATCCTCCGCACGCCGCACGAACTAACTCTTCGACGACGAGCCGCGTCCTTTCTTCCAGGCGTACTAAGTGTGCGTGTAAGCGACGCCTTAAAGTATCAGCCAGCAGGAAGTCCTCACCGCCTTGAGCTCTAACAGCGAAGGCGACGTCGAGGTCCTGGGGAACTTGTCGCCGAATGCGGCTCTTTTGAGTTTCGTCTCCCGACGGTTGCACGCTGATGATAACGACGTCATTCGGTTCACAGTCTGTGGCCTCTCCCACGGCTCTGATGAATCCTTTTCTATGACTGAGAACGAAGTCCCGTTCAGTCACTTCTCGAAAGCGAACGACAACTGCTTGTGCAAGCATTTCATCCGATATTAATACAACTGTTATTTTCACAATGGCAAAACCAACAAACTTTCCGTCGTTTACTGTAACATTAAGTCGATAATCTCCCACGTCTAGTCTGGGTGCCGCTCGTAAGGTTCCATCGTTCGGGTCAATCTCAAAGAGAGCAGTCGCAGGATAGCTCGCTCGGTCGACTGGAGCCAAAGAGTACGTGTAAGAGTCGTAGGCGTCACGATCTGATGCAAAAAACACGACCGACGACTCCACCCGGGAACTCGTCGAGGTAGGAGTTAACAACAATCTCCAATGGCGTCACCACAGGAGGGTACTGGGATTCCTCGATAACTTTAATGTACACCCAAGCATCCGAATATAATGGAGGAGTACCGTTATCAAACACGCGTATCTGTAAAACATATCGGTCCTTAATTCGATGATTGAATCGCGTCGCTGACCGTAGAAACCCATCCTGTTCTAGTCTAAACGCCCCCATCTCATTACCAGATTGGAAATCGAACGTATAAGGGGCGGAGTTAGGGGGCGCATCTGCATCGTTCACTATAAACTTGAGTATAGTATGTCCGAGGGGTTTGTTTTCTTGGACTATCTCCGTGTAGTTCGTTTTTTCAAAAAGTGGAGGGTTATCGTTGGCGTCGAGGACTTCGACGTTGACTACAGCGGTCGCCTCCAGCGCAGGGAGCCCGCGGTCTCGCGCGCGCACCTCCAGCACGTAGGCCGGCTTGGACTCACGGTCTAGACTCGAGGACACAGAGATGTAGCCAGTATCGGCATCAATAGTAAAACAGTTGTCGCGATCTCCGCGGGCGATTGAATATGTAACGCGGCCGTTGGTTCCAGCGTCCGCATCGTCCGCTATCACTTGCACGACGCGGACTCCGACGCTCGCATCTTCTCGAACTTTCGCTCCGTAGGAAGTCTGAGAGAACACGGGGGGATTATCATTACTGTCCATGATGGTGATATTGATCGTGGCGTGGTCGCTCAGAGGAGGCGATCCCCCATCTACAGCCTGGACGGTCAAATAGTATTCTTTCCGCCTCTCGTAGTCTAGAGGACGAGCTATGGATACGATTCCCGTAGAACGATTTACAGAAAAATCCTCTCTATCGTCTCCGCCAACCAACGAGTAATACACATCAGCGTTGACGCCCGTGTCGCGCGAGGTGGCCGTGACCCGCAGCAGCTCGGTCCCGGGCGCGTCGATCTCGGGCACGGCGGCCTGGTAGTGTCGCAGCTCGAACTCCGGCGGGTTGTCGTTGACGTCGGCCACCGTGAGGCGCACGGTGCAGGTGGCGGAGCGCGGCGGCTGGCCCGCGTCACTGGCGCGCACCAGCAGGCGGTGCTCGGCGCGCGTCTCTCGGTCCAGCGCCGTCCGTAGCGTGATGATCCCGCTGTCCGCGGTCAGTTCGAACGCCTCCGTCGGCTCGACGAATGAGTAACGTATTAATCTGTTTTCTCCGAGATCGTCGTCAGTCGCATGAACCTGAAGTAGGAAGAAGAGATTCGATTATTCGAAATTATGGTGCGATATAGAAGATTAGGCGGAACGGCCGAGAAATTCGGTTTGAGATATCTTTATTAATATTTCTCACAAGGAGAAAAAAAAGAAAAATAAAAAAAATAATCCACTTAGGAGAAAAATAAGGTATATTAAAATTTGTTTACATAATGGCTAGCGTTAACAGAAACAGAGGGTAAAATTAAAAAGTTATTCATAAACAACAAACATCACAGAGTGAGCGTAACTGGAAGTGTCTTTTTATTTTGAAGATTTTATTATTATATTATTATTTGTTTTGTTTAAAAATATGGAATTTCAAAAGTATTTTATATGTAGACAAAGATTTAGCATATTTTATATCTGATGGGAGTTTATTGTAGAACCGAGCACTTTGATACTTTAAAGTTCTTCTTCCGTAATTAGTTCGTGGGGCGTATAGATTTATTTCATTTGCGCGTCGTCACATTTTTGTTTGGATTTGGGTGTTTTTTTTAGTCTAAGATCCCATAATAGTAAAATATACCCTCATCTGTTAATTAGATATAATAATTTTTTATAGGCTTATTTTAATGTTATAATTTTATAAAAAAATGTCTGCCACCGTAGGTCTGATACAAATAACAATAATTAATTAATTAACATTTAATGAAATTATAATTTTTTTCCTTCTCATGTAAATCACATGAATCAAGCAAAAGTCGTCACTGTTGAATATTGTAAGCTATGTGGTAGTAGGCACCCATCACTATGACTGCTACATTTACTCGAGCCAGGTGAGAACAGGTAAATACATTTAGGTTATTTCCCTCACTTGTTAATTAAAATTTGTGAGCACATTTTGAAAATTAAATAAACATAGAATATATCTGTAAGTGGCAGTTGCCGTGAAATCATTTGCAGCCTTCATAAAAAAAAAATCATAATTTGAAACCAAAATATTTGAATGACAGAGAGAACATATCTGACTTTTGTTGCTGGAGACAATGATACAACAGTGTGTTTGCGCATGCGCCTCTACATCAAGTGATAATCAAGATTGAGATAATTATGTTGCTAGTCCGATGATTCGGAAGAAGAATAAACAATAGCTTTATACCTTAAAATTATTCTGAGCATATTTTAATTGCACTACATTTGTATACAATATTTTTTATGTAAAAATATTAAAGAAATAAAAACAACTAACATTTTAAATCTATTGTTTATACGAACATCTAAATTTTTTTAAATGTATTGTTTTAATTTCAGTATAAAGAAAAATTTATGGTAAGGTAACTATGGCTTTGACTTTTCTCAAGAGTTTGTTTATTGATCTATGTTCCGCAAACCTCTCATTTCTGAACAATTATTTTAAAAAAATAAGTATTTTACAAAAAATCATAACTTTAAAAAAATTTTGTGCAAACTTTCTATCTTTATCTTTTTTATATCACAATTTTGATCTTCTATTTTATTCTAATACGTTTATTGACACCTGTAATGCGCGCGCATAATTATACGCTTTCCTTGTTTATTAAGAGAATTAATGATATTCTGTCTCTCTCTTTGCAAGAAGCTCCCGGAGTCACCATAAACTTTCATTTTTAATATTTATCTCAGGCAGCATCAGTTTATTACACAACAGCCAAACATTATAATGTTTAGAATTCGATGCAATTTAATGTAGCACTTGAATTTTTTAATTACCAAGTGAGGGAAATAACCGAAATGTATTTACCTGTTCTCACCTGGCTGCAGGTACATGTAGCAGTCATAGTGATGGGTGCCTACTACCACATGGCTTACAATATTCAACAGTGACGACTTTTGCTTGATTCATGTGATTTACATGAGAAGGAAAAAAATATAATTTCATTAAATGTTAATTAATTAATTATTGTTATTTGTAGCAGACCTACGGTGGCAGACATTTTTTATAAAATTATAATATTAAAATAAGCCTATAAAAATTATTATATCTAATTAACAGATGAGGGTATATTTTACTATTATCGGATCTTAGACTATTTGTAAAAGTTATTTGGGAGTGGATGTCTTTATTTAGATTTTTTCTTATTAGTAGGCAAGTGTTGTAATGATACGTTTGTGAAATAGTCATTAGGTTCAAATCTTTATAAATTTTTTGGGAGGACGTTAAAAAATTATAATTGAATAAAACTTTAATTTATTTATTTTGAGCTCGATGCAAAGGTTCTAAATTCGTTTTGGCGGATGTGCCCCATATTTAAATCAAATAGTCAATATGGGGCTTCATGAGCGAGTTATATATTAGAAAACGTACATGACGTTTGAAACACCGAACAATACCGCGCAAAGCTCCAGAAAGAGAAATTATTTTTGACTTTATTTTTAATATATTAAATGATGTTTAAATGTCAAGTGGTGGTCCAAAATAAGTCCAAGGTATTTTTCGTGGTTTACTTTATTTATAATTTGGTTATTAATATTTAATGTAAAATGTTCAGGTATTCGCTTATTTTTTGAAAAGAATATTATGTAATTAGTTTTGGAAATATTTATAGTTAGAATATTACTTAGAAACCATTTATTTAGAAGATCAAGATCATGTCGAGCGTCGGTAATTATGGAGTCAAACTTGAAAAATGAATACCTTCGCTACGAGAGTTCCCAGCTCCGCATCTTCAGGTAGAGTGACGCTATAGAGCGGCGCCGAGAAGCGAGGAGCGTTATCGTTGACGTCATCGAGAGTCACCTCTATCTCCGAGCTACACGCCCACTCGCTGCGCTCGCGGTCCTGAGCGTGCGCGGTGAGGCGGTAGGTGGCGCGGGACTCGCGGTCCAGCGGCGCCCACACACTCACCGCACCCAGCTCCTGGAAACATTTAACATTCTCTATTAGAAATTTATATTTTTAAGTTGTAAAATTCAACAAAACTGTTACAACTGTAAAAACTTCATGTGTATAGTTAACGACTACTTCATATTATTTATGACTACAAGATAAATGAATCTATTTTAAAAAGAGTTAACCAAATAAAAGATTTAGGTATAACTGTTGACTCTAAAATGAGCTTTATTCCACATGTAGACGAATTGGCCAGTAAAACATTTAAAATATTAGGATTCATAAACAGAAGTACAAAAGCCTTTAAAATATCAGATTCTATAATAACGTTATTTAATTCGTTTATAAGAAGTAAATTTGAATATTTTTCTGTAGCATGGAGTCCCTTTTATCAAGTTCATATAGACAGGATAGAGAGAATTCAAAGAAATTACTAAAATTTGTAAGATTCAAAGATAGAAACACGATTTTGCTTAATAATTATGATGCTTTATTAAAACATTACAATATGAAAACGCTTAAAAATCGTAGAGATATGCTGGACTTATGCTTTGTACATAAAATAATATCAGGTAACATTGATTGTCCTCAATTACTAAAAGAATTAATATAGTAGTACCGAGACCTAACGCGAGGCATACAAATACACCAACTTTCAAATGTCGGTTTGCAAGAACAAATTTAGCAATAAAGGCACTTTTAAATAAGGCTTTTAGAACTTGTAATAATATTTCTAAAAAAGTCGGTATTGATATATATAACGATAATCTGAAATCTTATAAAACAAAAATAAAAAATAATTTTAAACTTTTAACGTAATATAGTATACTTATTGTAAAAAATATCTGCGGAATAGTCCATATACCTGTTACAAAAGAGTTCTACTTTAGTCTATAGTATTTTATAATTTTTATTTTGTGTTTTAAACTAGCTATATCATTGTTTGAATTTTTTATCTTTACTTACTTTTTAATTTGAAGCTTAGATTGATTTAGACTTTATCAGATAAACATAGCGTTGTTTTTGTTTTATTTTATTTTTTATTGTTTTCATTTAGTGTTTTTTTTAAAGTGTTTGTTTTAAGTTTAGTAACGATATTTTTATGCATATAATAGTTTTTCCTTAATTTTCTATTTTTTAACCATTTGTTGAGATTACATTGCTTTGTTATTTTTTTTTAACAAGATGCTTAGTGTGAAGTTATTATTATTATTTTTTATATTTGCTTTTTATTTTTTTTTAAATATGTTTCCATACAAATACAATACACGTTGAATAATTAATTTAAATTTATGTTTCTGTAAACATGGAGTGAGAGTGTGCGAAAAGTTTCTTATGTTTTTATTACAGTGTATGCTGAGTTAGCCTATAATTGTAGTGTACTTTGTAGCAACATATTCTATATTGTAAAACTTTTAATGTTAAAAAAATTAGATCATTGTACATTATGTTGGCTTCCTATGAAATAAATAGATAAATAAATAGACTTGTATATGAGTTTTATATCCAGTTTATTTTATTTTTCAAGTAATACTCGTATTCGAAGTGAACGTCGACAGTGTGTTACCTTGTGTATGGTGAAGTGCTCGGCCTGGTCCCCCGTGAGGAAGTATCGTAGTCTCGCGTTCTGCGGCTCGTCGTCGTCTCGAGTGAGGAGCGACACGAGCCTGGAGCCGCGAGGAGCGTCCTCGGACACACGGACGCGGTACCGGTGACGGACACAGTAGGGCGGGTTGTCTGGAGCAGGGAGTTGACATGTACGACTCGCCGAAGGATCACTGCTTGTGATCGATTCTCATCTAATCCTTGTATGTATTTACCGTTAACGTCGATGATGGCGATGTGCACCTCGGTGTAAGCCGTAAACTTGCCGTCCGTGGCCGCCACGGACAGTGAGTAGGCGGGCTCGGTCTCCCGGTCGAGGGGCCGCGCCACCAGCAGCTCCCCGGACGCCCGCACCTGGAAGCGAGCGCGCGGGTCGCCCGCCGACACGAAGTAGCTGAGCGGCGCGCCCGACACGTCGTCGTCCTGGACCGTGAGGCGCGTCACCACCGTGCCCGCCGCCGCGTCCTCCCGCACCTGCAGCGAGCGCATACACTATGAAAACTTGAAATAGACTGTGATGTTTCGGGAATGTTATTTTTTTTAATTTATTTTATAGTATCACCAACAGAAATGACAATAGTATTACAAATATTATATAGTTAACAATTGAACACACTTGATAATTGTATGTCTTTTTATAGGTAATCACAGCATGCACTAAATATATTAAACATTAGTAATTATGACAAGATTTTGATTTAAAAAGAAATTTAATTATTTAACAGTTTTATAACAATAACAATTGATTTGTATTTAAATGAACATATTGAATGCAAAATAAATTGAATAAAAAGTAACAGTTTTTAAATTAATTTTGAGTTAATAACAAATATTAATAATTTTAGTTTCAATAATTTATATTATTTTTTAAGAAACTTAACATATTTGATTTAAAAATAGGCAAATTATTACAAGTAATATCAAGGTTAGAGATGTTCGAGGAGAGATCATTATATGTGCGTGCTAGTCTAGCTGGCGGGGAATATTTTCCTAAGTTAGATTTGTATAGCGGTACAAGAAATAAGGCGCTCGGTTTCCTAGGTAACTTACGGGAACATTGAAATTAAATAATTGCAATATACCTGGACAATTAATATTGTTGTTCAATATTTTGTGTAGAAATAATAGATCTGACATTATTCTGCGCGACTGTAATGAAGTAATGTTGAAACGTTCAAACCTTTCTTCATAAGAATTATTGGTTTGATTGCAGTTCGAGCAATACGCAAGATGACGCAATAGTTGTTTTTGTACCCTTCGATTGTATCAGTATGAATGTGGCAGGACCCACCTCCGCAGAGTAGATGTCCTGTGTGAAGCGAGGAGGGCAGTCGTCGTAGTCGACGAGCCGTACGACGAGTGAGCCGCGCGCCACTCTCGCCTGCGCCCCCGCGTCCCGCGCCGTGAGCGCCAGGCGGTACTCGGGCCGCGTCTCCCGGTCCAGGGCCGCCGTGGTGGTGACCCAGCCGCTGTGCGCGTCCACTGCGAACGGCACCGCGCCGCCCTCCGCCCCCTCCACGTCCGCCAACGAATACTTGACCTCGCCATTTGAACCGGCGTCAGGGTCGTCCGCCATCACTGAACAAAACACAAAGATCTGAGACGGTCCCGCACCCGATACGAGCGTCATAGTGTATGTACTCACGTCGCAGGACGCTCGAGTGGGGCGGAGTGTTCTCGGCGAGGTGGACCACGTAGGGCTGGGAGTGGAAGGCCGGCGCGTGTTCGTTCACGTCTAACACGTGAAGCTTCGTCGTCACCATGGTCGCCGACTCCGAGCCGAGAGATCCTTCCGCTATTATTCCTTTAAAAAAAATTACGATTACTTAGGGGCCGTTCAAGTATTACGTAAGCAGATTTATTACAATTATTTACTCCCCCATCGCCCTTGTCAGCAAAAGTAAGCAAAGCTCTTACCCCATGCTTACGTAAATATTTTCAATTACTGTATTTTTTTTCATATAAGTCCAGAAAAAATTATAATTGTATTTTTTGATGGATCTAGTCGATGTGACGATTAAAAATTAATAACTACCGATGACGAAATCGATACCTAGACTCCCCTCCCCCCATGTCATCCAAAATAATCAACCAAAGACCCCCGCCCCTCCATAGTGCTTAAGTAATACTTGAACGGCCCCTTAGATAAAAATCAAACATCAAATAGTTGTCCTTCCCGCGGTACTTTCAACATGTCGCTACCTATGATATGTTCCTGGGCGGTCTCTCGGTCGAGCGGCGCAGAGAGCACGAGTCGTCCGGCCGCATCCAACGCGAACAGGTCGTTCAGTTCCCGTGAGGGCGCCAGGCGCAGCGCGGGCAGGTCTCCGGCGGGCGCGCGCAGCTCCGCGATGATGGTCCCGGGCGGCGCGTCCTCCGGCAGGAACAGGTCGGGCGGCGGCGGGGCCAGCAGCGGCGCGCGCTCGTCCGCTGACAACACGCGCACGGCGACCCCCGCCTCGCCCGCCAGCCCGCCGCCGTCACGAGCACGCACCCACACCTGCACCGTCCGACCCGCTGTAACAAAACAAACGACACTTGTCATTCATAATATTCAAACTGAACTGTAATAAATATAGTGAGTGCTATATTATAGACTAGCTTTTGCCTCGGCTTCGTCCGCGTGGAATAGTTACTTCCGACAGATTTTTGGTTCTTCCTACATCGTTCCCGTTCATGCGGGGTTTTCGGAATGGTCGAGTTCCCGTAGAATTTTCAGGATGAAACCTATGTTTTTTTTATTAATAATGAAGTACTCTTAAACAAAAACATATTTATTTGTTTATATGAATAAAGATTAATATTATTATTTTGATACAACTTAAACAAATTATTTCGACAAAATTAGGTACCATAAAAACGGTTTTTGTGAGTTAATCTTAAAAGATAGACATATACTGTCGCGGACTGTTTTTTAGATCATTAAAAGAGCTATTATTCTTTACTACATATTTTTTGTGTATCTTGAACCGTTTTCACGGCGCACGCAACGGAAGGCTTCAAAGATGAAATAATTTCTCCCGTTTTTTACACATTTACCACTATATCTTTGCTCCTATTGGTCGTAGCGTGATGTTATATAGCCCACAGCCTTCCTCAATAACTGGACTATCCAACACAAAAAGAATTATTCAATTCGAACCAGTAGTTTCGGAGATTAGCGCTTTCAAACAAACAAACAAACAAACAAACAAACTCTTCAGCTTTATAATATTAGTATAGATTTAAGTCTGGTGTCAAGTCTCCTTTATAAAACATCTCATGTATACATACAAATATGGTGGACCGTCCATTGGCCCAAGCTCCAAATCTTCTAATATTATTAAATACGACTTAAAGCTACAAAGACTTTTCTTTACAAACCCAGTAATTAAGCACATTAGATGGCGACCCTGCCAGTAGTTTCCGTTTTCTGCTCAGTTTTCATTATAATATAACAATATTATTTTAAAATTACAATAATTCAAGAATGTGACAAACATCGCAATCGAAAGGAGGTATAATTATTCCCAAAATGCTGCTGGCTCCAGTGGAAACCAAGCTTCTATCGAACAACTCAAAACGGGCATCGGAACAACAAATATTCTCACGGGAATATCCTCGTTATATTTTTGGCCAAGATTCATTGTACAATTAAAGACGCTACGCGTGTCATCAAAGAGATATATTAGTATAAAATGAACATTTTTTTGTACAAACAAATCTTAATTATAATATTAATATGTTAATGTAGTATAATAATATAATCCCTAGTTATCAGTGCTCAGACACAGATCATGTTGCGTGGCGACATTCTTAAGTGTATAATTATTATAAAATAACTGGTTGTGATATTTTATAATTATTAGAATTTAGTATGACAGATCAATTATGCACAATATATAATTCCTTAATTGAAATAAAAAAAAATACTTAATAAAGACAGGTAGGTAAAAAAAGGTTTACTGGGAATATTATAGAAAATAAACGAGTGCGAAAAATTTGTGTTAAGTAGTAATTTAATTCTGAAAAATATTTTGTGTAGTGTTTTCACTAGTCGGACGTAGTGAATAAAACTATTGAGATATATGAAAATATTAATATACTATATTTAGAAATTAAAAATTGTGTATTAAGCCAGAAAATTATTCCACAAAAATGGATTTCGATTTGAAAACGGCTTGTAGTTTGTTGCCAGTCATGGACGGTGTGGAAGAGACTACAAAAATATTAATTGATGTTATCGAAATGTATGCGGATATGCTTAAAGATTCGGATATCCCGTTATTAATTAAATTTATTTTAAAGAGTAGATTATCCGAAAATGCTAAATTGCGCATGTCGATAAATTATACTTTTGTTAAAGATATTGTCAGTGATATGAAAGTTCATCTTTTAACGAAAAATCATTTACGGCTATTCAAGAACGTCTTCAACAGAGTACTCAGGGTTGGAGATCGGTAAATGAATATGGAACTGAAATAGAAAAGCTATTCATAGATTTGACAATATCTCAAGCAGACGGAGACTCTTCACATTATAGTATTTTAAAACCATTGAACGAAAAGTTAGCAATTAAACTGTTTTCGGATGGTCTAAAAATAATAAACTTAGTACCATAATAGCAGCTAGGAACTACAACTCTCTTAAAGATGCGATCAACACGGCGAAGGACGAGCAGATTTCCTTGCCCTCTACCTCAATAAATGCTGATGTCATGCATCTAAGGAATACCTCAAGTCAAGGTAAACGAGGATTTCAAGGCAGGTACAAAAATAATAATAATTCTAATAAAAGGTATTACAACCAGAGAGGATCCCGCCAACAACGCGATAATTATAATCATAAATATTCTCCACGCGGTAAGTATACTACAAATGTACAGCGTTTTCGATATTCAAACCGAGGAAAATTTTCTAAGGGTCTTAATCGCGGTTACACTCGTAATGCGTTCCCGATAAATATGTATAATGATAGAGAAAATATAAATAAAGACAAAATAGAACAGGAAACAAATCAGTTTTTTCAGATTTAAAGATTACATTTTTACATTGAATAATAAGCATAAAATAGTAATTTTTGAATCAAATAAACATAAATATTATTTTTTATTAGATACTGGTGCTTCTTTGTCAATTATAAAACGCGAAATATTACCGAAAAATACTACAATTTATAAAAGTAATATTGAAGTTAATGGAATAGGAGGTTGCGTAAAATCTCATGATCACGTATATTTAACACTTAAAACTAAACGTGATGAATCATTTCATCATAAATTTTATATTTTTAGGAATTTATCTTTAAAAGTAGATGGCATTATTGGATTAGATGTTTATCTAATTTTGGTTGCGATATATTGTTGAATTTTAATACTTTGAGTCTTAACTCAAATGGAAAACAATGTCTAATGCCAATTTATGAAACACCGGATTATACTTCGGATTATTTATTAATCCCGGCGCGAAGTGAGTCTATTCACTATGTAGCTGTAGAATCAGGTTTGAAAGGTGATGTAGTGGTTTGCGCGACAGAGTATAAAAGGTAAAGAAAACGTAGGAGCTGATACTTTGTCAAGAATCAATATTACATCAAATGATTTAAAAGGCATGAATGAGCAAGTTATGTCAGTATTAACTAGAAAGCAAAAGAAAGAAATGCAAGAAGTTAGAGAGAGCGATGTAGAAAAGAATACACCCTTTGTTATTAACTCTGGAGACGAAAGGACTGATCACCCTCGAGTTGTGGAGTTATTAAGAAAGACATGTGATTCGATTGAAATGAATTTGATAGAGGCATATAACTCAGAAGTTATGTAGATAAATTACGAAAGGGAAGTAGGCTTAGTAAAGAGTATAAATGTTTTTCTTATGATCCGAGTTGACAAATGTTATACATTAACCTCAATTCTCGCGAGTCGAATTTTTGACCATTTTGAGTGATTTTTGTAAACAGCTTAGTATCGAAGAGATATGTATGTAATATGTTGTTAATTGAAACAAGAAATTGTAATTGTTGCTCTGTAGCAATTACAGTTTTTTGTTTTACAAACATTAAAAGCTATTGCTTCAATTTCTATTTTAAACAATCGTTATTCCTTTTCAAATATCTTGTTAAACTTAAACGTACAAAACCAGAGAGCCTTTTTCTACAGATTAAAATATATAATGAATGCAGAGTAAAAAGTGGTGCTACCATAGATAATAAATTATAGTAAGTGTAATTATTAAATTAAATGAAGAATAAAAGAGCTTCATTTACATGTATAATAAGAGATAAAAGTAATGAAAGTTTTATAAAAGATTTAAGAGATGAGATAAAGTCGACTGCAAATTGGTCCGGACCATGCATTCATATATTAAAGAATGTAACAAGGATTGAGAATGATGAAGAAAAATCATTCATATTAAATGATTTTCATCTACTACCCACAAGTGACAAGGCTGGTGTACGTACAATGATCAATACTATCAAGAGACGATTTCATTGGCCAAATCTCGAAACTGATGTAAGGGATTTCATTAGAAAATGTTCTAAATGCCAAAAATCTAAACATTGTAAATACATAAAAGAGCCTATGACGATAACAACAACAGCGTCATATTCATTCGAAAAGATATATATGGATATAGTAGGCCCTCTTCCTGAAGATTATGATAAAAATATGTATATATTAACGAAATAATTTGTTACATAGCAAATATAATAGAAAAACTTAATATGATAAGTATGTTAATACTGTTGTATACAATAAAGAAGATTTAATTTTAGTAAAATCAGAAACAAGTGGAAAATTTGATGAACTGTTTAATCGGCCATTTACTGTATTAGAAGATATGGGATTAAATGTTAAAATAATTAAAGATAATAAAATAGACATAGTACATAAGAATAGAACAAAACTTTTTGTTAAGTAGTAAAAAAAAATGTGTAAGCCCATTTTTTTTTCTTTCACCCCCGGAGGTGAAGTGTAATAAATATAGTGTGTATGGTATATTATAGAATTAAGTGTAGTGTAAAGTCTCCTTTATAAAACATCTCATGTATACATCCAAATATAGTGGACCACCCATTGGCCCAAGCTTCAAATCTTCTAATATTATTAAATACAACTTAAAGCTACAAAGAAGTTTCTTTTCAAAGCCAGTAATTAACCACATTAGAAAACTATGTTTTTAAGATATGACTACGCGATTTTATTAATTTTCTATCCGGTAATGGTATCCAAAAACTATAGTCCTTTATATTTTACTATGGAATCGTTAAGTTTTCGGTCGGTAAGAATGTAATGACTCACCGAATGCTGAAGCGTTGCGTGCGAAGGACAGAGCGCCGGTGAGAGGATCCACGGCGAACAGTCCGGCCGCGTCCGTCTTGAGTTCTCCTTCGTACACGGAGTAGGTGAGGCGAGCGTTCTCCCCGGCGTCGTCGTCGGAGGCGGACAGCGTGAGGAAGGGCACGCCGGGCGCGCGGTCATGTTTAGCCGCGGCGCGATACTCCCGCAGAGGAAATGTGGGAGCGTTGTCGTTGAGGTCAGTGACCCGCACGCGCACGGCCGTGTGTCTCAGCAGCCCGCCCCCGTCGCTCGCCATCACCGGCACCTCCCACTCCGCGCGTCGCTCTCGGTCGAGCGGCACGCGGGTCGTGAGGGCGCCGCTGCTCGCGTCTATAGCGAAGGTCTCTCGTAGTTTAGCCGACGGTATAGAATAGGTCACGGTCCCGTACTCGCCGGCGTCGTCGTCGTAAGCTTTCACCTGGAGAAGAGATACGAGAACTGATCATATGTATATCGATGTTTAATAAAGATCTCTGTGTGTGGAATTCCTAAAACGACAGCATATTCTGAGTAATTCTCCTTTTTGTGACATCATACTGCTGTGTAGTTTGTTGTTTGTTGCTGTGTACATTTTGTTTTCATTTATTTATACCTTCTATTCTGTAATCTTCATTAGATATTATTTAATTGTATTGTTATTTTATGTTTTTTATTTATATTTATGTTAGTGCTGTCTCGCAAAGATGTTCACAAATAAAACATTTTCTTTCTTCTTTCAAACGGGTCATCGGAATAGGGAGAAGCAAACTGAACACTCACCGTGGTAAGAAGGAGAGGCGGCGGCTGGTTCTCGAGAGCGCGCGCCTCGTGGACTACGTGAGGAAAATGAGGCGAAGCGCGGTTAGCGGGCGCAAGAGACAGCTTGACTCTAGCAAAGGCGGCGTGCGCTCCGTCAGACACGGACACGTTGAAGGAGCGCGGGGACGAGCGGGAGGGAGACAGCCAGGAGCGGGCGTCCAGCAGAGACAGCACGCCGGTCCGCGGGTGCAGCGCCAGCGCGCGCCGCTCGCCCGCCGAGCCCTCCAGCGCGAAGGTGAGGCGCGCCGCGTCCCGCGCGTCCTCGTCCCAGGCCACCACCCGCGCCACGGCCGCGCCGCGCGCCGCCTCCTCCGACACCAGCGCCGCCACCACCGCGCGCTCCATCTTCGGGGGACAGTCGTTCACGTCCTCCACTGGAACGATCATGTGTTAAAGTTCATTATGAATACATAATTAAGAGGAGCAATCGAATTCTCGGTTTCATTTATAGAGTTGCAAAAAACTTCAAAAATCCTTGTAGCCTTCTTCATCTGTATAAATCTCTAATTTGTAGCATCTTAGAGTACAACTCAACAATATGGTCGCCTTTCTATTCTATCCACAGTGACAATATCGAACGTGTTCAAAAAAGGTTCATTTTCTTCTTGTGTCACAAATTTGGATTGCACAATAAGATAAACTGTTACGAAGATAAAATTGGCTATTTTAATCAAGTAGTACTGCCGCAATCAAGAAATAAATTATGTCTTATTTATTTTTTGGTGTTCACCTTTAAGCAATAAATCTCAGTGTTCTGAAGTGCGACAAAATGATTGACATATTAGTCAATTGTCAAATCTAATGTCAAAAAACCGTTTGTATGGGAATAAAAAAGCGCTGTTTTTAGGGTTTTACCGGAAATTAATAAATAAAATTCAGCTTTTAAACCTTCCCTGAACCCCCACAAACATTTCAAGACTATGATAAGATAAATCCATTCAGTCGTTCTCGAGTTTTAGTGAGACCAAGGAACAGCAATTCATTTATTGTATATACATATATAACTAGTAAACCTGGCGAACTCAACTCCCATTCGCCACCAGAAGGCTTTTATATAACATTTCGTTTGGTGATTAAAAGATGAAGAATTTTTTTTTGTTTTATATTTGAAAAGGAAAATTTTTATTTCATTTCACAACAGTAACGAATTCATTTCGATTACAAAAATGAAGTGTTATTTAGAGTTGAACTTCTCTAAGTAAATGAAAGTGAATCCAAAGTAGATACCGAATCGAAGCGTTATACGTGTCCGCAAATTATCCGTTTCATTGAAGTCGTCCTTTGTAAATTTTTAATTTTTTGGTCTAACTTTAACACAAATAAAGCGGATGGTTTAACTAATGTATCTTTTGCTACTATTTTTTGTAATGATTATGCCGTGTACACATACTTAGGAATGTAATCAACCTAAAAATAATTTTTAGACTGTAGCTCATTTGTAATCCTGATTATATTCTGTTTGTGTGCCTAAATAAATAAAATAAAAAAAGTTAAATCGCGTCCCGCCACTCTCGACCGAGGCTACACACCCGTGATGAAGAGATGCGCGGTGGTGAGCAGCTGCGGCCGGCCGCCGTCGCTGGCCGTCACCAGCAGGTGGTGCGCGGCGCGGTGCTCGCGGTCCAGGGGTCGCGCCACGCTCACGTCGCCCGTCACCGGGTCCACGGTGAAGGCGAGCTCCTCTCCGGTCTGTCCGCCCGGGCCCCACGCCGACAGCGAGTAGCTCACCTGGCCGTTGTCGCCTACAGAACATGGACATATATATAACAAGGTTCTCACGTCGAGTCACAGTCCACAAGCCCGCCAAGCCGGTAGTGAGTACCGCTGTCGTCGTCCTTCGCCCGCACCCGCAGCACGCGGTCCCCGGGCGCGGCGGCCTCGCTCACGGTCGCGCGGTACTCGTCCGTGTCGAACTCGGGCGCGCAGTCGTTGACGTCGGTGACGGTGAGTGTGAGCGCGAGGTCCGCGAAGGCGCCGGTCACACCGTCCGTGGCGCGGACCGTCAGCGAGTGGGAGCGGGCCGACTCGTGGTCCAGGGCCGCGCGCGACACCAGAGTACCTGTCAGAGAACAGTTGTTAAACTGACGAGTTAGTTTAAAGAGATCGAGACTATTTATTGACAGTGAAAAGTAAAAATGGATGGTTGGAGGTGGATGCTGAACACTGATTAATAAATTGAAAATGCAACTGCTAATGAAAATACATAAATTAATTGGCAATGGAAAACAATACAGCGAGTGCGGTAGCGTATTCAGTGTGACGTATATTTTTCTGTTCCAGATCAATAGACAACTAAAGCTATGGTTAGACAAAAGTGACCTTCAAAGCTAGTGACTAATTAACTTTGTGTCATTAATACGTGTTAAAAGCTAAGACTTTGCAACGCATCTTCTTCTATAATTATAAATTTTGGGCCAGTTAATATGGTAGTGGAGATGACAACCTTAAAATGGTGTAACCGTGTGAGTGAGGCGGCGGGTGAACTAGAATATGAGACGGAATATGCAACAGCTTGGATTAATTACAATAAACTAAAACACTAGCTGTTATAACAAGGCGGCTACAAACAACATGCTTTTCAACACTGATGTATGATGTGCAAAGAATTAAATGTTTGAATTGGTGGAGAGGAACTAGCGCGTGGGTCACGGACTAACGCAACACTGAACGGTTACTCGCGACGAATACTCACACGGACCACTCCCTCTGTCGGGCGCTGCGGGACAAAATCAACAGGTTAGTACGGGAAGGAGCGCGGCCGACACACGGGCGGGGCGCGGGCACGCGGACCACTCACCTGTGTCGAAGTGGAGCTCGAACAGGTCGTCGGGCGAGTCGTGCAGCGTGTAGATAAGCTGGCGGTTGAGAGGCGAGCGGGCCTGCAGCGGCGCCCCCAGCGCGCTGCCCGGCGCCACGTCCTCGCGCACGGAGCGCGCCTCGTGCGCCACCCGCCACGTGGGCGCCGCGCCGCCGCCCCACACGCGCACGCTCACCGCCGCGTCCGAGCCGCACGCGGGCGTGCCGCCGTCGAAGGCCGCGATCACCAGCGAGTATAGCTGGTTGTGAGAGTCCAACGTCTGCTTCAGAGTGATCTGTCCCGAGCGGCGGTCCACACGGAACAACTCGCCGTGCCCTCGCTTCATCTCGTACCGGACCTGGACGGTTAACGAACTATTAGAGTAGTGGTTGTAACATGAGGACCCAAACAAAGGTTTAAGGTTTAAAGAATTTATTTTCAATAAGACATAGTCACTTACATGAGAACATACATACAAAAGTGAAAAAACAAAAGTTGTTGCCAGATTATTTGGAACTCAATTAAAGATAGTACATAAGATATTATTACAAGCGTTTCACATCGTTGGTATATCAATTATTTTCTAAAATACGTTGTGAAAGTTGAGATTTAAATTCGTTAATTGAGCTTGCATTTCTTATAGTAGACGTAGTAATTTGTTATAAAGTTGTGCTCCCTCAGATGTAAGTGATATCCTTTTTTGCAAATTTTGTCCTCGTTTTTGGGAGAACTATGTAGTAAGCTAGGTCGACGGGTGTTACGCGTACTGACTTGTTTCATAAATGACAATTTAGAGTGTACAGATTTATTAATAACTAGCTTTCCGCCCGCAGCTTCGCCGCGTGGAGTTCGGTTATATCGCGTTTCCAAGAGAACCTTTCAAAAGTCTGGGATAAAAACTATCCTATGTTCTTTCTCAAGGTCAACTCTATCTCTGTACCGAATTTCATTAAAATCAGTTCAGTGGTTTAGGCGTGAAAGCGTAGCAGACAGACAGACAGACAGACAGACAGAGTTACTTTCGCATTTATAATATTAGTAGGGATTTTTACTATTAGAATGCAGGAATTGTATATATAAAATATATAAAGTTGTTTTAAATTCATAATCTTCGTTTCTTCAAAAAGGGCAATGTCCATTTTTGGCCTAGCGTGAACAAGCTGCTATCAAAAAAGCAAGTTTATGAAAAAAAATACATTTTTTTTAGCTAGCCATTCTATTGTTGTTTGAGTGTACATTTGTGTTTTATTGAAAAAATATTTTTAAAGTATCTTCATTGATTTGCTTTATTGATCCACGTGTTGCGTCAAATCGAATCATCTCGCAGTACTTAATACAACTATGTATAAGTATTTAATACAAAAAAAATAATAATATTTGTTTTTAATTAGTTTCGTCATTTAAAACGTTTTATAATCTATAATATGAAGAATGTTAAACGTAATCATATCTGTTTTCGATCGATTTTTTAATGATTTTTTTTTATTGCAACACTAATAAAACAAAAAAATACAAATTGACATTGATATATCACAACAGACTGATTGTTTACATAATACATTCGCTTTATTTACTTACATTGAGAGTGTTGATTTATTATGGATTTTCTTTCAACGATTGTTTATTCATTATGGACTCCGACCTATCTTTTTCCAATGACCCCTGCACATCTACGGACCCTGAATTTCGCTCAAACGATGACCCTGGCTTTTGTATTATGGACTCCGATCAAGGCATAAACGATGACCAACACTCACGTAATATGGACCCCGAAACTAGCTCCATCGCTAACCACGGCTTTAATATGGACATTGAACAAAACCAAAGCGTGTCTCATGATAGTCTGCACACAGAAGAAGTGACTTCTTACCAATCCGTATCTCTGAGATGCATAAACTGTGGAACTGATTTGATAGAGCGAAGGCAACATAGTCTAGATCTTAATCAGGTTCAGTCTATTATAAGACAGTAGATAGCTCCTCGACGAGTAAGTGTCAATTTAATTAATTATTTAAATTACTCGTTTTTTAATAGATATGTATTGTATATGCTATTCCTATAATGCAATATGAGGTTTTATTGTTTTATATAATTATAATGCTTATATACTGTTGTATTATAATAAATGAAAAGATGTTTACTCCTAACACATTAGCTGACTTTGTTATCGAAAATAATTTAAATAGAAGGCAGGCAGATTTTCAACCTATAAATGTAAACATGGACAGTTTCATATTTCCAAGAATAGAATATAATGATCTTATATTAATTGCATGTGGAACATACCAACTAAAACAAGCTTGTTCGTATTATGGGAAACACATAAGTGGCGATGGTTCCTATACTATAGAAGTATGTAGAAATATAGCCAGCGACCTATTGATTGACTACCCGATTCCTTTGGCCAACTGTAGATTATTGCATGGAAAAATACAAAGCAGGCATGTAAGTCGAAAAATATACAATGGACCCCCGGTAGTCCGACAAACATTTTGCAGGGCAGTGTCGGACTATCGAATTCGTCGGATTATAGAGTACTGCCTAAGACCCCCTATAGTCCGGATTTTTTTACAAAAGAGTACCTTGTAATATTAATATAATGATGATAAGATTATTTACATATTATATGTATATACATACATATGTTAAGTATATAATATATATGTACTCTGAAGTACAAATTCAAATTCCAACTAAGCAATCAGAATCAAAACAATAGCCTACGCGTCGAGCACAATAGTGATGGTGCGTACAAGTTGTAACTTGTTCAATCATGCATTAGCGAATACCAAATATGTATTCAATAATAAATACAGTAATACCTCGGACTTACGCCATAGGTGGGACTGAGTGCTATCCGCGTAAGTCGAATTCGCGTAAGTCGGGGTACAATTTTGCATATAAAGTCATAATAAGTATGTTTAATTGGGACTGGAGACTAAATAAAACAATAATTTAGGAAATAATTAGTATCTAATTCTAGATAATATGACAAACTATATTAATAGAGTGTATAAACACAATCCGAAGTTATTTTGATGTAGAAGGTTTCATAAATTGTAACAAAGTCGTCTGACGAGTCAATGATTTTTTCTTCTCCCGTAATATCTCCTCGTAGCATCCTAGTATTTTTTTTATTCCATTTTTTGTAACAAAAATTCGCTCTTCATTGGAGTCTATGCTTTCCAAAATTGTTAACCCTTTCTCAATCGAACTGAGGGCTTCTGTCAAGTTTCCAATTGTCATTTGATCTTCTAATTGAACTGGATCCAAAGAATCATTATCAATTTCTTCCTCTTGTTCATGCATTGTTATGAGCTCATCAATTGTAAGCTCCTCATTGTGTGATTCCAACAGCTCTTGAATATCATCACTATCCACTTCTAAATTTATTTGTCTACCAAGTTCGACAACGTCTTTGATCACACTGCAAATTTCATCAGGCCCTGGCACTGATTCCACCTGAGTCTCAGTGGAGAAAAAAAATGGACAGAGTTTTTTATATATGTATTAGAAAATTAAATCGCGTAACTCCGAATTCGCGTAAGTCGAGGTAGCGTAAGTCGGGGTATTACTGTAATAGATCATGTCGGATTACACGGGGTGCCGGATTAGACAGGGGCCGGATTACCCGGGGTCCACTGTATTATATATATATTAGGTATATGAAAATAATCACAATGGTAAGGAAGCTATAAAAGAATATTATTGTAATTGCATGGTTGGCCAAAGGACAGTGGGTTGCTGTGCTCATATAATGACTATTTTAAGGTTTTTCAGTTGGGCAAGGTATCAGGAACACATTTCATCACCTGTCCAATTTCTTGAACACATATTAATAACATATGATGTCTCAGAATAAAAATAAATCATAAAAAAAGTTGTTTTATTTCGCTTTAACCTGTTTTTCCCCATATGACAAAAATCTCTTTTTAAACATTTTGATTCAAAATTAAGTTCATATTCTCATTATTACTAGTTAATGCTTTTAAACTAATTACAAAAAATATGATGAAATGTTTGTTCACGTCAGGCCAAAGTCCCCATACTAAGTGGACAATCTCCTTTTAACTGTAAATGTAGATAATGGATATTTAAATAGTATTTTTATTATTTTATTTTGTTTTCTTGTAATTTTGTTTTATTAGTATTACCCCATACTTCAATTACATATAACAAATGACATTTAACTAAAGAGTTGTAAATATTATAGTGTAGTTTTTGTGGTATGCATCTAGAAATATTCTTTAGTGACCCAATTAAAGAGGACAGCTTTCCTTTAATATGGCTTATTTGATTGTGAATATTAAGGTGGTTATCTATTCTTAAGCCAAGATATTTTTCGCAGGTTTTTTGCTCGATTACAATGTTGTCAATAGTTAGCGGATTATGTTGCAAAATTATTTTATTTTTAGGTTTAAATATTATGTAATATGTCTTAGAAGCATTTACAGTTAAAAGGTTATGGCGGAACCATTCATGTAAAAGATCTAGATCTTGTTGCGCTTGAGTGATAATGTCATTTATTTTGTTACCAAAATAGAACAAACAAAAGTTAAGTGACCGTGTAATTCCAAAGATGCAATATTATTTATGTAAATTAAAAAGAGAAGCGGCCCTAAAATGGAAACAAAACACAAGAAACTCTCACACTCAACAGATGCACGGATAAAACACTTCATACATATAATTTTAGAGACAGTGTACGGTAGGGAAGTTTGTTATCAAAAAGAAGTCTGTCACGTGTCCGTGTCAGCGTGTCCCCGCGTCCTATCACAAGTCACATGTATGTTATACTGCACCTCTCCGTTGTCGTTAGCGTCCTGGTCCACCGCGTGTACTCGTATCACGGGCGTCCCGGGCTCGGCGCCGGCCAGCACCGCCGCTATGTAGGGCCGCTCCGTGAACACGGGGCAGTTGTCGTTGACGTCGGTGACGGCGACGTGTACGCGGGCGTGAGCCACGCGCTCGGCGCCGCCGCCCGCACTCCGCGCCTGCAGCAGCAGCGTGTACGAGTCTCGCTGCTCGCGGTCTAGCGCCACGCCCGTGCTCCGCACAGCGCCCGATGTCAGACCCACCTGAAGTTACCGATGTTTATTGTTGTAGTGTATAATGTACACACATGTATGTACTTATAAATTAGAACAACGAATACACAGTCGATCAGTATCATTTGAGCATCCGACATGTTTTATTTCGATCTCCAATCCCAATCTTATATGGCGACCCTGCGGGTTCAGTCTCGCGGATCATATTCTTAGCGAATGTGGAATATTCCAGAACCTACAATAAACGAAATTCGTTCTTTTAAAATATATATCAAAATAATAATGTGCCAGTATAAAGTGGAAAATGAAGATATTTTCATAAATCAAAACGGAGCACAAAACACAGATTCTGTTGAAGAAATTAAGTGGCATATATCTACTATCAGCATCGTACTTTTATTTATATGCAGCATCGTTTTTTTGGTGTTCTCTATACTTTGTATAAATTGTACAATAGATGCCATGAAAAGTGGATACGTGAACAAATAAGCAGACATATTTTCCGGCGTTCCATGAACGAATTCAGAGCTCGACGTGGTGCTTAAGACCTTATTTGTACGGCCGAACTTTTAAAATTATCACGGATCATAAGCCCCTTACTTATTCAATATGAAAGATCCATCTAGTCGCTTACTAAAATTTAGACTCGTACTGGAGGAATATGATTATGTAATTGAATATGTGAAAGGTAAAGAGAATGCAGCTGCAGATACATTATCTCGTGTGATAGTAACTTCAAAAGAATTGAAAGCGATGAATGAATGTGTACTTGTGATGACGCGTGCTCAGAGGCGAAGAATGAACGATATGAATGGAATGAACACGAAACCTCAAACTGACTTTAATGAAACCGACAACACGAGGCCTGATCAACCACGTGTGGTCGACACTTATACTAAACCCAAGAATGCTGTAGAATTACGCTTTATATACATATAAACGTAATTTGAATATATTACGGAGTAATAATAATATTTATTATGAGAACAATATTTTTTCATATGATAAAGATCACTTTAATTTGTTTATAAACTCGTCTTCTCAATCTCAAATTACGCGAGCCGGATTTGTGAGAGAGTTGAGTAACGTTTGTAAAAAAAAATATTGATCGACGAAATATACGTATTAAAGAATAAAAGTAAGTTTATTTGTAGAGAATCACAAAATCAAAACATGATTTCTTATAGCCACACGGATACCTCTACAATAAATCAGTTTACAGAATATGAAATATTGAAACAATTAACGAGACTTAAACCAGACAAAAGCCCAGGACCAGATGGATTCACCAACGAATGTATCAAGGTTGCGAAGACCCTTCTACTGTCACCAATAACTATCCTTTGGAATAAAATACTGGAAGAAGAAGTTGTGCCACATGAATGGATGACATCAGAAATTATATTACTATATAAAAAAGGCGACCCAGCTGATATAGGAAACTATCGCCCTATAAGTCTGATGTCTTGTTTCTACAAACTTTTCACATCATGTCTACTTGAAAGGACAGCTCCAGCCATCGATGCCTACCAACCGATCGAACAAGCCGGTTTCAGAAGTGGCTTCAGCACGATTGATCATATCCAAGTGGTTGACCAGGTGATAGAAAAACATATAGAGTTTAACCCTAGAGTGGGCGCGCTATGAGCATTTTGCCGCCCGTGCTAAAAAACCGTTAATAATAATTAAAACAACTAGCCGTTAGACTTGTGCTTCTTAGTAGCTGCTCCCAATCTCATTAGCAACGTTTGCCTTAAATCTGGACACCGTCAGTACCCACGGGACCGCAGGAGAAGAAGGTATCTACTATCAGGTGTCGCCGGGCGGCAAATCGCTCACCGCGCGCCCACTCACGTAAGTAATATTGTATAATGCATTTTTTGCAAACTCGAAATGTTGACTATATTTTATGGTGCATTAATAACTTTTGCAACTAAAAATATATTTGTTTTAGGATTTCAAAGAATTGATTGATAATAATATATAAAAATGGATAAAATAGAAGATCAAAAGATTTGGTGGGATACCGAATCTTGAACACCAAAGATCGGGCGAAACCATCTTCAATGTTTGGATTTAGCGACAGGAAAGTGTTACTATCTTATGTTCCAAATAAAAAGCAAAAGAAAATAGTATTGCTATTATCAACTTTGACCTGAAATGATAACATGTGCAAAACCTGAAATGATAACATTTTATAGTAGTACTAAAGGTGGTGTTGACGTGGTTGACCAAATGAAGGAAGAATATTCTGTTGGGAGGATGACTCGCAGATGGCCAATCAGATTATTTTTTTAATGTTGAATATTGCCGGTATAAACAGTCAAATTATATACAAAGCCAATACTCAATATTTGATGCTACGTCGAGAATATTTGAAACAAATTGCCATGGTACTTGTCAAGCAATATATGACCACAAGGACTTCTATAGGCACTTTAAATATTTCTTTGAGGAACCAAATTGCTCGCTTTGTCCCAGTAGAACAAGCATCATCTTCGAAAAAGGAGGGCAAATGCAGTATATGTCCCTCAAAGAAAAACAGGCGCACGAAAAAAGGGTGTTCCAGATGCCAAAAGTTACTGTGCAATGAACATTGTACATGTCTTTGTGAAGACTGTTTTGATAAAGCGTATCCTGTAGATTTAGAAAATATATAATTTTGTTATTTTTGTTATATTTTTTAAGTATTAAAAAGTATTATGTAGCTTAAGAGAAAAAAAGTCATTTAAAATATTAAGTCTTCTAAAGTCCTTTGTAAACCAAAGTTTATAGAACAAAGTTGAATAAATATGTTGATTTATTATAACTTACTGTTTATTTATTTAAATCCTAAAAGAAAAAATATTAAATTGCAGTATTACTAGTCAAAATAATCAAAGAAAATGAGGCGGCAAAATGCTCCCCACGCGCCTACTGACGTTACGCAAAGAGACGCGCCCACTCTAGGGTTAATAAACCCCTATATTTGGCTTTCATCGACTACAAAAAAGCTTTCGACTCAATTTCCCACGAGAGTATCTGGGAGTCGTTGAAAGCACTAAATGTAAATGTAAAGTACATCAATATCCTCAAAAATATTTACTCTAACAGCACAAGTCGAGTGAAACTGGATAGAGTGGGCGAAATAATCAACATAAAAAGAGGCGTCCGGCAAGGAGACCCGATCTCACCAAAATTATTCATTGCCGTCTTGCAACACATAATGGGAGAGCTGTCATGGTACAATAAAGGTATTAATATAAATGGAAAATACTTAAGTCATCTCAGATTTGCCGACGACATAATTATACTATCAGAATCCCCTCACCAACTAAACAAAATGGTAAACGAATTGAATCAGGCTAGTATAAAAACTGGTTTGGAAATGAATCTCGAAAAGACTAAAATTATGTCTAACCGCAGCGCAACGTCCATCTCAATAAATAACACTCCTCTCGAGTTCGTCAACCGCTACACATACTTAGGAAAGCAAATCTCCTTTAGCAAAGAAAGAAACACCGAAGAACTAAATCGAAGAGTGGCGATTACCTGGAACAGGTTCTGGCAGCATAAAGAAATATTAAAATCTCAACTTCCACTACCGATCAAGAAAATAGTCATGGATACAGGACTGCTACCCAGCCTCACCTATGGTTGCCAAACCTGGACCTTTGACCTCAAAACTAGGAACAAAATCCAAACGACACAGAGAAGAATGGAGAGAAGCTGTCTAGGTAAAAAATTGAAGGATAAGGTAAAGAATGTTGACATTAGGAAGAAGACCAAAGTATGCGATGCCTTAACTTTCGCAATGAAGGCTAAATGGAAGTGGGCTGGTCACTTAGCCCGTTACAGGGACGACAGGTGGACTCTACGGTCAGTAAAGTGGTCTGGGCCAAAAGGCACCAGATCAAGAGGTCGACCAAGGGCCAGATGGGCTGATGAAATTGTAGAGTGCGCAGGTGAAAGCTGGCTCGAAAGAGCTAAAGACAGAGAAGTATGGCAGTCCTTGGGGGAGGCTTTTACCCGAACGGGGTCCATGCATTAATTAATTATTAATTAAATATAAAATAAATTACTAATTATCATATCAATTTATGAAAATCAGATGATTATTAAATATAAAAAATAAATAAAATTAAAATAAAGTAAATTATAATGTAAACAAATCTAATTAGGGTATTAAATTACAATCGAATGTTATAATAATTATTTTAGTTTATTATTATGCATGGAATAAATAAAGCTTTATTATTATTATTATTATTATTATTATTATTATTATTTGTAGAGAAATTAGTGAGCGAGTTTATAAATAATAAAAATTGGGAGGGCCCTCGCTTGTGTATTTTAAAAGATGTTGAGCGTATAGAAAATATTGTCGATAGAAAAGTAATACTAAACGATTTACATATATTGCCCACAAGTGGCCACGCGGTCATTAGAAGAATGATAAATAATATTAAAACATATTATTTTTGGCCAGGCATTGAAAAAGACGTGACCAAGTTTGTGAATAAATGTACTAAGTGCCAAAAACAAAAGTATACGATTATGTTGAAAGAAACAATGACAATCACCTCTACTGCAAACGCTGCGTTTGAGAAAGTATTTTTAGATTTAGTTGGTCCACTCGATAGGGATAATGATAATTACACTTATATTCTCACGTTACAATGCGAATTGTCAAAATATGTATGCGCGATGCCTCTGACGTCAAAATCTTCAAACAAAGTAGCACAAGTTTTGTAACGGATTTTATTTTAAGGTATGGAATCCCGAAACAGATAGCAACAGACAGAGGTATGGAATTCATGTCCGACACTTTTAAAGAGGTGTGTAAACATTTAAATATTTCTAAATTAAATTCCACAGCGTATCATTATCAAAGTATTGGCTCATTGCAAAATTCACATAAAAATTTAAATTCGTTTTTAAGAATTAACGTAGATCAAAAACCCGAAACGTGGAGTTATTGGCTGCCGTTTTGGTGTTTTGCATACAATACAACTGTTCACACCTCTACCCAGTTTACACCGTACGAACTAGTTTTTGCAAAGAAGTGTTGTTTACCAAGTAACCTTACAAAATCTGTAGAACCATTATATACCTAATCATGACAATTATCCTCTTGAACTAAAATACAGGTTGCAAGCATCGCAAACAGAGGCGCGCAAGGATTTAATTAATAGTAAGCTTAGGAGAAAAGTTAGGTATGATACTTATACAAATACTTTTCAGTACAAGCCTAATGACAAAATCCTCATTAAAAATGAAACTGGTAATAAATTATCGAACCATTATTCTGGACCTTACACTGTAATTAGAGATATTTCACCGAATGTAGAGATCGAAATTAATGGAAAATTAGACGTTATTCATAATAATAGAACTAAGCCTTATTACGAATAACATAATGATAGAACTCTATGTAAGTTTATATACACTTAGGATTAGTGACTCATCTTATATTGCATGATAAATGTATTGTAATGGGATATGCACCTAATCATTTTATAGCTTATAAAATTGTTTTGTAAAAAATAATAATAATAATGCAATTGTAATCTTAAACCTGCAATTAATAATACTTATACATAAAATACATACACAATAAAAAAATATATATGTAAAAAAAAATTACTATTGGTACTATTTTTTTCCCGTCGATGAGAGGTGTAGTGTATAATGTACACACATGTATGTACTTATAAATTAGAACAACGAATACACAGTCAGTCAGTATCATTTGAGCATCCGACATGTTTTATTTCGATCTCCAATCCCAGCCTTATATTGTAGAACTGTATTCGGCGAACGAATATCATTGAAAAGTATGTTTTAAGGCCGGTTTACATCAAACAAACATGGAGCTAGCGCTAGAACAAGAGCATTCTTTTGTAATCTTTTAGTGTAAACAAAAGCTAGATCGAATTTTTTTTTGCTCATTTGTCCCAATTCTGTGGTAAGAATTGGTAGTGCTTCGTTATGTCTGACTTTGACAGCGATATCTTTATTGCAAGTGCTGCATTTATTGTTTTGACGCAACAACTTAAAAATAAAAGAAGAAAGAGACGTTGGTGGGTTACAAATTGAATGCATCGAAGGATACTGGTTAATGTAGGTGAAACTATAACGGATATGCGAAAACAAAAAGAAAGTGGACAATTACAAAACTTTTGTAGAATGGCGCCAGACGATTTTGATCATTCACTATCATTTACTCTGTATGATGTATTTTTATAATTTTCATACCTCGGATCCCAGAGACATCTGAAGTTGCGGTAGGCAAATTACTAAACATTTTTCTTGAGACCAATCCATAATTTAATCGATACGTAAACGTTAGAACATAAGAACGCTTGGATGAAACTGTTCATGCGCTCTTGCGCCGTTTACATCAAGCGAGCGAGCATTCTCAGAATATTCTATAGAATCTTTGCGAAGGCACTAAGAACAATGAAAGAATGCTCTACGCCTGTTTACACTAGAAGAATTTTATGTAGTGGGGATAGAAAGAGCATTCGCTCGTTTAATGTAAATCGACCTTTAGAAGAGCAGCCTCACCTCGAATCCTTCGACAGGATTGAGTATCCGGAACGCCACGTGCTCGTTCAAGGCCGCCCCGAGGACGTTGAGCACGGCTATCGTGGCCGGTTTGGTGGTGTTCTCTACGACCGAGCCATAATAGTCAGCCTTCTGGAAGGCGAGCCCCGAGTTGTCCGGTTCCCGCACCCGCACGTCGACGCGCGCCGTCCCCGAGTACAGTCCGTCAGACACGCGCACCCTCAGCCGGTGCAGGCCGCCCGCGCCGCCGAGCGCGCCCGCCTCCGATACGGATAACACGCCCGCCGGGGACAGGGAGAAGGCGCCGCGGACGTCACCGTCTATGATGTCGTACTTCAGAGCATCGAGCGAGTCCAACTGGTCAGGGTCGGTCGCGTTCAGGGTGAGGACCCGGACCCCGGCGGCCGTGGGCAGCAGCACGGTGGCCTCGTACACGGAGCGAGAGAACACTGGAGGACAGTCGTTGAAGTTGGTCACCTCCACCGACACGCGGGCCACGCTGTCGGACGGGAGCCGCGGCATGCCCATGTCGAGGACCTGGAACGTACAGGGTACACGTTAGTATTAATTAAACGATGGAGACCTCGCGCTAGGCGGCGGCTCTGTGACCTTATTTATTTATTATTTACACTTTTTTGTACACCACAATTAAAGTCACGAACAATTACAAAATACACAAACTAATAAACTAATGGTGAAACAAAAGGCGGCCTTATGGCTTATTAGCTACTTGGGTTAGAGGATTGTGTTTGAAAGACAGTATAGGGTGGTGCAATTTTAAATACTCTTAAAATAATTACAACTTCAACACATACAAAAATAAATAACAGTAATAAATATTCAATAATATGTATACGTACATATATCAATAAATACATACATACATACTGTTAGAAATTATTTGGTTAGCACTTCCACTTAGATGCTTATTGCTCCACAACTCGTAACAGAATCCCCAGTCTAACACTTATATCGTATTTATAATATTCAAAAGTAACATTTAGGTGAGGTTAGGTTATAATATTAGGCGCTGGTTCCCCTCATAAGAGTTTCCATTAAATAATAACACACTTAACATGCTAAAGCTCTAATTATAAATTATAAAACCAATTGTTAAGTATTTGGAAATTTAAATTACTGTACAGAAATATTATTAACATTAATTTACACTATTAAAACGAATATAGATGGCGCTAGTTGACTATCATAAGAACTCCCAATAAATATTAGAATATAAATAACGTGAAGCTTAGAATTGTGAAGTAGACAAATATTCAAATCTTATTATTACTAACCTAACACTCGGCCCTTCCTGATTTATAAATTTACGACCTCGTGATAGTATTGTGGAATATTCCAACCACATTAAAATATTTATTTCCAAGTTTATAAAAGTCTAGAATCCAAGATTGAGATTGTAAATATTAAAGAAATCTTATTACTTGTAAAGAACAAATTATTTTACAAAAATATTTTACTGCAAGTATAATACAAACTTTATGATATTAATATGTAACTTTACATAAGATTTATCAAAAATTAATTTAACGATCGGCCATATTACGTCCTCGTAATAGAATTGTACTCCTATAATAAAACAATACATAAAACAATAGTACATGATTTTCAATAACTTTGATTTATTTATCTATTTCTTTTTTAAGCACCAAACCCTATGATACTTTTTAAACTAGATCAATGTACAAACCAATGTGATTTTATTTCCATGGGACATATCTACATGGATTCTGGTTTTTTTTCTTAGCATCGGACATCCAGAATGCTTATAAATGGACTAACCAATTTGATATTATATCCATGGGATACACCTACACGGACTTTTTTTTTAACACCGGACACACCAGGATACTTTTCAAACTAGATCAATGGACACACCAATTTTAACTAATTTCCATGGACACACCTACATGGATAATAATATTTTTTTTTGACACCTTGCATATGTTATGTACGTATTTTATCTTCTCTTACTTCATTGCCATCATTCAATGTCATTTAAATATATATATGGATATATCCATTACGTTCAACAATATAATTTTTAATTATATTTTGGTTTTAATCTTTAAAACTAATATTTAATAAATTGAACGGCTCGATACTTTTGTAACAAACATCTTTAATTATCATGACACTGGATTCATTGAACATTTTGTTAAAATTTCTTATTGTTGTTATATTTAAAAGCAATATAATATGTTTTTTTTTTAAATATGACATTAACAAAATCTTAAATTGAATACAATGCAATATTCAATTTCAGTAACTACGATCAGAGCATTGTTTTTGAACTGACATTTGTAGGTAGCAGTAGCGGCTGTACCTTAAGGGCACTCGTGCGCTGAACCACCAATTCAAAAGATTTAAAAATTACAAAATATTATTTTTATTCATCCTTATTTTTAAATTACCATTTAAATATTTATTTTTTTAACATACAAAAACGTATGAAAAATTTAATTTCCAATTACTGTCAAAGAGTTTGAGCGCTTTATTAAACTAATATCTCGTGCGCTTCGGCGAGTCCACGAGGACTGCTAATACATCTTGTATGGAATAGGAGTTAATACGCCTGACGCGTGAAACAAAAGATAGTTCATAGAAATGTACCGAGTCATGAGTCGGTTCTCGAGCGGCGCACGAGCGGCCGAAGATTACCGAGAGCACCCGATGTATGACGAATTGGAATTGAAAAGAATCAAAACTTTTCTCCGAAATACCATGCACTTGCTAAATGCACTTTCTGGCTTAGTATTGAATTTAAAAAATATACAAACAATACCCGATTTTAATAAATAGGTGATTGAACATTTCGCTTTGGAAAAATGTCGTTGCATTAATAATTAATGTATAAAAAATAAACTTATTTTATATCAACTGTTGTTTTGTTGCATTTTCTAATTTTAATATTTTAGTAAAGTGCACCAGTTCGATAACCCACCGGCCGCCACTGATAGATAGTTTATCCTTTTATTCTAATCGATGAGAAGTTATTTGAAGAAGAATTAAATGAATTTTGTGGTTGAATTTAAGTATTTAAAATTTATTTTGTGAGTTATTTAATGTGGTAACAGTAAGATGGCGGTGGTTTTTACTAAATAATAAGTGGAAGTAATTATTCATTTTCTCTTAATTTTTACCGTTTTTATAAAATTTCATCGATCATTTTATATACACCGAACTAGAAATATCATCTCTTTATATAATAAAAAATAAATTTGGAAAAGAACTATATTTAACGATTAAAATTATTTATCATGTCATTACCTGACATCATCATTATTCATAGATTTCTTTGTCCGTATTATCAACACTACTATAACACTGTATTAGAAATCTTAAGAATCGATTGTAACTAACACTCTCTTTTCATGACAAATACTCACACTTCAATTGTGCAATTTTCTGTTCTATATCCTTTTTTTAATAAAATTACTACATCGGATACTTATATGCATTGGAAAAATAAAGACTTGCGTCCATATAAAGAAAACGGTGGGGCTTATTATCTTTATCAAAATTTAATTATTATGAAATCGTGAAAGATCGATTACAGGATCCGTTAAATAACGTGTGATTTTAATTGTTAAGTATTTGGACATTTAAATTCTGTACAGAAATATTATTAACATTAATTTACACTATTAAAACGAATATAGATGGCGCTAGTTGACTATCATAAGAATTCCCGATAAATATTAGAATATAAATAACGTGAAGCTTAGAATTGTGAAGTAGACAAATATTCTAATCATTATAAATAATTATTACTAACAATACATACTTACATTCATACATACAAATACATATAAATACATATATACATACATACATATACAGGGTGACTGGTGAATTACTATCGATACTTGAGGACGTGATATTTGACGATCATTGACAAAATAAAAATTAATATAACATAAATATTAATAAACTTCTAAGTAAAGTTAACCAAAAGTTATGTAATTAATTACGTGTCAACACCCTACAGATTAGGTATACGTACACACACACACAAACACGTGCGGCGGCGTAGTGTTGTATCAGCACGCCGCCGCACGCGTCCACACTTGGAACACTTGGAACGTGTCCACACTTTATTTATTTATACGGAAATTTGGTCAAAAATTAAGAACCTATTTTTTTTACATAATTCGAATGAGAATGATGTACCGAGTATGCTCCTTAAATATTGATAGTAATTCACCAGTCACCCTGTATATATACATAATACATACATATATGACGTTATTAAATATTTGTCATAATCTAACGACATGATTATTTCATTACTGTGATGAGAGATATAAGTTCTTTACGGAGTTTTTAAATGCATGTAGAGTTCTCGTCAGTCGAATGCTCAATGGCAAGTCGTTCCAAAGGGTTATAGCCTGAACAGTGAACAACTGGCTGTAATATTTGCTGTTATGAGCAGGCATTTTCAGTACGAGCCTATGTGTTGGTCGAATTCTAGACTGATCTCCTAAAAATTCAAATTTCTCCTTCAGATAATGAGGAGCAACAGCATACTTTCGGAGACCGAAAATAAACCGAATAGCTAGATTTTATAATCGCTCGAGATAATTAAGTTAAGACCTTGACTGTGAACACGTGCAGCCGTCGCTCCTCGTAGTCAAGAGGCGCGGCCAGCTGCAGGGCCGCCGTGGTCGGGTCGATGCGAAACAGGCCGGCCGCGCTCGGCTCCACGATCTCGAAGGCTCGCTGTCTGTTGGCGGACGAATCACCGTCCGACGTCTCGAAAACTAAAGCCTCGCCCACACCCAGCGACGCGTCCATGACTAGTGCACCCACAGCGGCCGCCTGACACGATATAACAAGTTACGAGTGTTTCAAATGTTTGTGCAAAAATTACATAAACGCAGAGATTGGTGCGTTATGAAATCAAGAGTTTATTGTACCTCGGATATGCGACCGTGATATTCGTGGCGGAGAAGAACCGGCGGGAATTCATTACGATCTAGGACATGTATCGTAACTCGAGCTCGGGCGCTGCCGCCGCCCTGTAATGAAGAAAGGCGTGACGACGTGTGTGTCGCGGTAGATCGACGAATTATTTAAAAATCTTAACTTACCATATTGAGCGCGACGACTGTCACGTTATACATATCCTGCGTCTCGTAATCCAGAGGCGAGGCCAGGGAGAGGACGCCGGAAGAAGGATTGAGAGAGAAGCGACCCTCGCCTCCCTCCAGAGAGTACCACACGGAAGACGAGCTGCGGGCCTCCAGCGTGGCGACCAGCGACCCCGCGGGCTCGTTCTCATACACCTCACACACGACCTCCTCGGACGTGAATCTGGGGGAGGCGGGATTTGGTTTAAAAAGTTTATTTCCAAAAAGGACAAAGTTCGCTTACAAAGGAAATTTTAAAAATTATAATTACAATTAAGATTACAAATAATAAACAGTAGTGATATTAAACAAGATCAGTGAAATCATATAATATATGAGTTCTTAATCGTTTTTTAAATATACATATTTAGAAATTTTGAATTAACAACACTTAGAGGCAAAGAATTATACAGCTGTGATTCTTCAAATGAAATAGTTTTAATGCCATACTTTGTTCGAGTTTTAAGTGTTTCTAGGTTACATCTGTTCCCTTTGTGGTAAGAATGGGTTTTGGTTTTAAATGTAATTTGAGAATGAGTAAGGTCTGTTAATATTTTTCAGATCAGTATACATAATTTATATTTATACACGTAATGAAATGACATTTCATTAAATTCAAATTTGCCGCGCTTCGCGCGTTTTTAGCTTGTCGACCAGAGACGCGCCACTATTCACTGATGGCGAATTATGTTTATAGTCAGGTCAAATTAGACCAAATAATAACAGTCAGGTTACATAAATTCCCACCAAGCTGAAAATCGGTAAGATTATTTGAAATATCATTAAAAACAAAATTTGAAAGTTCGCCTCCTTTCTCCTGTAAGGAAAAAAATTTATTCAAGGTCAAAGGTAAACAAAATGAGTTTTTCGCGATTTTCAGTAAAACGGTAAGTTTATCATAAAAATATCTCAGACGAAAATTGTAGATCATAACATTGTCTACGAAGAATTTAATAATACTTTATTTCTACGAGCCACCGTTTTTGAGATATAACGATTCAAAAAGATGTAAAAGTTGTAATCGTCATAATATGCACACGTTTCCTCCCACCTATGAGGTGTACTTAGCTTTTTTTTTGTATCTTCTCCAGTAGGTCTATTCCACGGGTCAGTATTGATCTTGTTTAATTTGAAACTATTGATAAATAATGGATATTAGCAGAGATTGATAAGATAAAAGCAATTGAAGTTATAAAAAAAAGCAGTCAAATTTAATGGTCCGATGTATTAATTTTCAAAATCTTGTTCTTCTTCATCTTCATCCTGAGGGGATGTAAACTGCCTTATATATTATATAATATACATAATAGCTATGCATGCATGCATGCATGAAACTGCATGTTGGAACTAAACGGATCCTCTACTGTTTGTGTGTTGGAGATTCAATGTTAGAGCACAGCCGGCCTTGACAATGTGTACATGCCGGAGAATAGGACAGTCCGACTTTTTTGCAACCACATTTAGCACTGCAGTTTTTGCAGTTGCAAGAGTCGAGTTCAGTTTTTCAGGCGCAGGTGGAAGTAAAGTGTAAAAATATTTTAAGATATATTACAACTATAGAGATGTACGAGTATACATATACTATGTATGTACTCATGCATATTATGACGATTACAACTGTTTGAATCGTTATATCTCAAAAACGGTGGCTCGTAGAACAAAAAGTATTTATTAATTTTTTGTAGATAATTTTATGATCTACAGTTTTTGTCTTAGATATTTTTATGATAAAACTTACCGTTTTGCTGAAAATCACGTAAAACTCATTTTGTTTACCTTTGACCTTGAATAAAATTTTATCCTTACAGGGGAAAGATGGGGAACTTTCAAATTTTGTTTTTAATGATATTTCAAACAATCTTACCGATTTTCAGCTTGGTGGGAATTTATGTAACCTCGAATGTCTAATTTGTCCGGACTATTAAGTTTTTGTGCACTTTATGATTATTAAAAAGTGTAGAGAGATAAACTAAGGGATATAAATGAGGTGGCGATATTAGTGGACTTTGATGTCGTTTCTTTGTATTTTCAGAGAAAGAAATTGTGGTTCGCTTTGAATGCTTTTGATAATATTCCTTGTATACATTTGTCTAATAGATAAAATTCTAGTTGTTTTATATAAATCTATAGTAGGTGTATAATAATCCATATGAAATAAGACCTTGATAAGTTTATTTTGAGTGATCTGCAATTTTTTTATGTGTTTTAGCCGCGTTGCCCCCTATTTCTATAAGGTATTCTAATACTGGTTTTACTAAAGTATTTGTAAATAATTTTCCGTACTCTTGGAAGAATACAACGTGCAGATTTACGTAAAGCTCCAGTTAGCGAAGTTATTTTGGATGATGATAGGAGCGTTGTCGAGAGACAGTTCTACAGAGGCTTGTATATATCATGTATGGATACCTCGGCGGGGCGTCTTCCGGCTCGACCACGACTATGTGAAGAGGTAACGTGGACGACTTCGAGAACGGAGGAGGGTTGGAGGCTCGGACGTGCAGGGTGTAGTCCTTGGGCCCCGCGGCGGGGAGCGAGCGCGCCAGGCGCACGTCACCCAGCTCCGCGTCCACGGTGAACGAGCCGGCCGCGTCTCCTCCCACGAGCGAGTACAGGATCCGCGCGGCGTCCCCCGCGTCCCGGTCGGCCGCACGGAGCGCCGCCAGCAGCGTCCCGGGCGCCGCGCCGCGCTCCACTCGCGCCTCGTACAGGCGCCGCCCCCACTCGGGGGCGTGTTCGTCGGCGTCGTGAACTCGCACCGTGACGCGGGCGTAGGCCACGGACGCCCGTGGCGCCTGGTCCCGCGCCCACACGGTGAGCTCGTGAACGGCCGCCGTCTCTCTGTAAACAGAGACGTCCGTTAGAGCGGGTCGCAGCGGCCGGGTCGCGCCGGCTCCGGTCCGCACCTGTCCAGTGTCCGCGCCAGTTCGAGGGCGCCGGTGAGCTCGTTGAGTCTGAACAGCGCGGCGTGTGCAGGCGCCCGTGCAGCGCTCAGTCCGTACAGCAGGCGTGCGCCGGCGCCGGCCGCGGCCTGCAGCGTCACCAGGGTCTCTCCCGCGCGCGCCGACTCCGACACCTCCACTGAGTACTCGCTGCGGGAGAAGTTCACTCCGCCCTCGTTGGCATCGTTGATGACGGTTATGTTCACCTGCGAGCGGAGTTGTCTTTGATATTTACGAACTGCTCCACCTCCCGATCTCCTCCCAGTTCCTTCTATATCCCTCCCCCTCACCGTGGTGTACACCAGGTTGTGCCCGTCGCTCACGGACACGTTCAGTCCGTACCGCGCCTGTTCCTCCCACAGCAGTCGTCGCGCCAGCACCAGGCTGCCGTCCTCTCGACCCACGTAGAACTGATGCCTCGGGTCACCGTCTATAACACGTGTCAATAACAGACTTAATGTACAACATGGAAACTTCGTAATGATTGTAACATATTTACATATAGATTTAAAGAAGTTTATTTCCAAAAAAAAAAAAAAACAAAGTTCGCTTACAAAGAAAATTTTAAAAATTACAACTACAATTAAAATTACAAATAATAAACAGTAGTGATATTAAACAGGATCAGTGAAATCGTATAATATATGGGTTCTTAATCGTTTTTTAAATATATTTAGAGATTTTTTAATTAACAACACTTAGAGGCAAAGAATTATAACAGCTGTGCTCCTTCCAATGAAATAATTTTAATGAAGTACTTGGTTCGAGTTTTAGGTGTTTCTAGGTTATATCTGTTCCTTGTGTGGTAAGAATGGGTTTTGGTTTTAAATATAATTTGATGAAGTGGTATTTATTATGAACTATTTTTTATCACTTTCAGTATAAAAAATAGTTCACAACCCAAAACAAATTTTCTTATAAAAAATCATAATTGTAATGAAGTAAAAGATAATAACTGCAATTGTCCTTTAATAAATAAAGTGAGTTAAATAAAATACTTGGGAATAATGGTCGACCAGAACCTGTCATGGTACCCGCAAATTTAATCACTGATTGATTTTCAAATGATTGAAATTGATGTTGAAATCACTGAGACATATTGTAACTAATAATACTGTAAATGACTCCTCAAACAATATTTTAAATCAAATTTATAAAGCTTTGGTGCAATCCATAATAACATACTGCTTACCTGTTGGGGGTGGGGGGGGGGGGGGCACGTAAAACACGTTTCATGGAAATTGAACGAGCTCAAAGAGCATTGATTAAAGTAATGTTCTTTAAAAAACAACGGTTTAGTATTGAAAGACTCTACAAAAAAGTGGTTTGTTAATTGTACGGAAATTGTACATATATTGTGCAGACTAAAATAACACAAGTCTAACCCACGATATATCGTTACTCAATAAACGTATAGCATATAATGTTATATCTATCCCTGCTACTAAAACAGTCTTCGCTAGGATTCAGTATGATAATAGATCTGCTTATTTATATAATAAAATAAAGAAATACCTTGATAGATATTCAAAAACTTGTAAAGAGTGTGTAAAATGTGTATAAAAATAAAATGGATAAAATCTTTAAGTTTTCAAGAAACGGATTTTTTTTAGAATATAGGAACTAGCATTCATATCCTACACACACCAATATACACACAAACACACACACAAATGCGCACGCGCACACATGCATACACAAACATTTTAATCCCACATTTGCTTCCTTTTTTGGTAATTACTTCTCTTATTATTACTTTTTTATATTGTTTTTTATTATTGTTGTACCTTAAATATCTTGTATACTTGTACCTAATTCGTGATATGGAAGAGCGGAGTTTCCTGGTACAGGCTTTTCATATGCTTAAAAGGAGACCCCAATAACTTTATATTTAAGTACAAATTTGTTAAAGAAAATAAAGAATTATTATTTTTTATAATGAATTATTTAGTTATAAAAATATGAATTGAATAAGAGGTGATGTTTGTCGAATAGTATTGAGTACTGTTGCATCGGTTGAATGTTTCGTCGATAACCTTTTAGTAGTTTTTGTGGGAATGAATAACAAACATCTTTACGCCTTCAAAACTACTCGCATTTATATTATTTTAAGGTTAAAATATTCTAAGGTCCATTCGATTTGAAAAATTATACGAAAGAATGTCGAGCTTGGGGTGTAACGTTGACCGGGATATTGATCGGGAGGCACGAGCAGTGTGTGAGCGCGTCTTTTTTTTTTCGTTTATTGGTAATCCAACAGTGTTACAGTAATTTGAAAATAATAACAATATAGCTATAAACAAGGCCAATTTAGGATTACACAAATTTACAGTTCTACAGTTATACTCGAGCATACAATTAAGGACAAAAACAAAAGGAAAAAAAAAGCAAAGAGAATGCTGTTACATACAAAAGTGTGTGTGTGTGTGTGTGTGTGTTTAACATAAAATTACGGGTTACGATGTATCTTTATTTTTTTTTAAGTTGGTTTTTAGTAACATGGTTCTGGTCTAGATGTGAATAAAAATTATTGTATGTATGTATTTGCTAAACGAATAAGTCTTACCGACGATGTCGTAGTAGAGCGCGTCTCCGTCGGGGTCAGCGGCCTGCAGCAGCGTCAGCAGGAACCCGGGCGCGTCCAGCTCCGCCACCTGCAGCGGCGGCACCGAGCGGACGGACGGGGCGCGCCCGCCGCCCGCAGGCACCACGCGCACACGAGCACGGGACACGCTGCAGCGGGGCTTGGAGGAGCAGTCACACGCGCGGACCGCCAGGTCGTAGGCGAGGGCCGGCGCGAGGGCGAGGCGCGGCGCGGCGTACACCCGGCCCGAGCGCGCCTGCACCCGCAGCAGGCCCCGCGCCCCTCCCCTCCCCCGCGCGCTGTACCGCACGGTGCCGTTCTCCGCCGCGTCTCCGTCCAGGGCCGCCACCTGCGGGCACCACACGTCTGTTACTATCCTCCATGTATCCCGGTCGTGTTCCTCGTGACGTCACTCGTCCTCACCGTCGTCACGTATACTCCGCTCGGCGCCTCGTCCCACTCGTCCCACGCCTGGTGAGCTCCTGAACCTTCTTCTTCTTCCTCTGCGTCAGATTCGTTGTCGAGTTCTGAACTGATGTCGTGACCCTCGACCCTGGTCGCTTCGTCGTCCTATATAAATAAAAATCTATCATATATATATGTATATCTTCTATATATATAAAAATGGATTGCTGTTCCTTAGTCTCGCTAAAACTCGAGAATAGCTGAACGGATTTATCTTATCTTAGTCTTGAAATGTTCGTGAAGGTTCAGGGAAGGTATAAAAGTTGAAAAAAAATTATTCATTACTGGGAAAACCATAAAAACAGCCCTTTTCTATTTCCCATACAAACGTTTTTTTTGACATTAGATTTGACAACTAACTAATATGTCAATCATTCTGTCGCACTTCAAAACACGGAGATTTATGGCTTACAGGTAAACTCCAAAAATATAAATAAAAAAATTCTTGATTATAGGGCGATACGAAGTTCGCCAGGTCTTCTAGTATATATATATATATATATATATATACAGGGTGACTGGTGAATTTCTATCGATACTTGAGGACGTGATATTTGACGATCATATATGATTAAAAAAATAAAAATTAATATAACATAAATATTAATAAACTTCTAAGTAAAGTTAACCAAAAGTTGTGTAATTAATTACGCATCGTGTGAACCCCCTACAGATTAGGTATACACACAAACACACACGCGTGTGTATGTTTATATGTGTGTATATATATTTATATATATATATATTAGGATGTCTTTAAGTAAATTAGTGTATGTCGGTTTATATCATTGTGTTATTTTACTTTAATTCTCGGTGAGCAATAAATTTCTCTTATTGCTCAACACAAACCGCATTATCTCTTTGTGCATGTTCTTGACTGTACTAATCGTCTCGAGACTCATATCTGTTATCGAAATAGATATTTTTTTTTTCGGCCCCGTTACGAATAAGGCTTAAAACACATGCGTGGGATTTCACGAGCAAGGTTATTTTTACTTATAGAATGATAAATCGGATAAAAGGGCTATTTACAACGTGCGATGTACATAAATATATATTATGTACAAATGAAAGGAACAAAATAAAATTGTTTATTCAACTCTGCAAAACCAGTGATAGTTTCAGGAAGCATTGTTTATTTATTTATTTATTTATTTATTTATTAGGAAGCCAACATAATGTACAATGATCTTACAAAGTACACTACAGTTAAAGGCTAACTCAGCATGCATTCACAAAATATATAAATCTTTATATATAATTCTTCTGTGAGTGTGTATGTCACTGAACTTCTCTCAAACGACTGGACCGATTTTGATGAAATTTTTTGTGTGTGTTCAAGGGGATCTGGGAATGGTTTAGATTCACAATGTTGTCCGTTGGACAATGTTTTTTTAATTAATTTTTAATTTATTAGTAGTTGTTGTTGTTTTTTTGAGATTAGATTTGAAAAGTAACTAATATAACAATCATTCTGTCGCACTTCACAACAGGGAGATTTATGGCTTTAATAGGTAAACTCCAAAAATATAAAAAAAACGTAACAGATATTTCTTGATTATAGGGCGATACGAAGTTCGCCGGGTCTTCTAGTATATATATATATATATATATATATATATATATATATATATATATATATATATATATATATATATATATATATATATATACAGGGTGACTGGTGAGTTACTATCAATATTTAAGGAGCATACTCGGTACATGATTCTCATTCGAATTATGTAAAAAAAATAGGTACTTAATTTTTGACCAAATTTCCGTATAAATAAATAAAGTTTGGATACGTACTCATCCTTGCCGGCGCCAGTGTGTCGGGACTCCCCAACCCCCGCCCCGTGGCTAGCGGGCCATTAGTCGGCTATTAGTCGCGCCAGCGCCGCCGTAAGGTCCGTACGTTCGTCTTCCCGCGCGCGCGCGCCTAGCGATCGATCTTACGCGTATACCTAATAATAATCTGTCGTGTGTGCGTGTGACCCGTTATTACTTATTAGTAATTAAATATGGCTTTTCAATACACAAATGCAGAATACTTGGACATGGTTTATGCGTATGCGCGTGCAAATGAAAGCTTGCGGGGCGCAATCAATTTGTACCGGGAGATGTTCCCCAATCGTCGAGTACCTACGGCCAGCGTCATCTTAAACGCTAATCAAAGATACGAGACTTCGGACAGTTCCGTGTTCCAACACATGCCCAAGGAAACGTCTTGTGTATGCTACAATGTATGTCAACAGAGAGGAGTTGAAATTAAAAATCTATAGTGCTTTCGAAACTATTAAAAGTGACCCATTCGTATTAAATCGTGTGAAAGACAATATGTGTAAACGTGCCGAACTGTGTATCACACGAGAAGGAGCTCGCTTTGAACATTTGTTAAGGTTAGTGTAGTTATGTAGGTAAATAGGTAGTTTAATGATTGACAATTGTTGTAAATAAGAATGATTCCATTTTTAAATACGCCGGAAATACCAAGATAGGTAAACAGTTCATATTATTTTTCGTGTCAAGGTCACACCATTTACCTAGTCAATAAATTGGTTGCTTAAACGAAAGAAATATCTTGGTATTTTTGCCTGTCCTAAGCCAGGATTAAAGTATGAAGGGAATTGGATCATTTTTGTTTATCTAAGGTCTAACACGCGGCGGCGCGCGGCGTTTGGATGTAGGTAAACGACCGCGCGATAACTACATATACCTACGTACATAACTGTTTTGTGTCGATAACGCAGCTAGGGTATCCACGTGATCCGTAATTAATTACATAACTTTTGGTTAACTTTACTTAGAAGTTTATTAATATTTATGTTATATTAATTTTTATTTTGTCATATATGATCGTCAACTACCACGTCCTTAAATATTGATAGTAACTCACCAGTCACCCTGTATATATATATATAACAAAGCAACGTATTAAATAATAAATAATATAGAATAAAGTAGAACTCTTTTGTAACAGGTATATGGACTATTCCGCAGATATTTTTTACAATAAGTATATTACGTTAAAAGTTTAAAATTATATTTTATTTTTGTTTTATAAGATTTTAGATTATCGTTATATATATTCATATCAACTTTTTTATAAGTTCTACAAGCCTTGTTCTTGCAAACCGACATTTGAAAATTGGTGTATTTGTATGCCTCGCGTTAGGTCTCGGTACTACTATATTAATTCTTTTAGTAATTGAGGACAATCAATGTTACCTGATATTATTTTATGTACAAAGCATAAGTCCAGCATATCTCTACGATTTTTAAGCGTTATCATATTGTAATGTTTTAATAAAGCATCATAATTATTAAGCAAAATCGTGTTTCTATCTTTGAATCTTACAAATTTTAGTAATTTCTTTGAATTCTCTCTATCCTGTCTATATGAACTTGATAAAAGGGACTCCATGCTACGGAAAAATATTCTAATTTACTTCTTATAAACGAATTAAATAATGTTATTATAGAATCTGATATTTTAAAGGCTTTTTATGAAACCTAATATTTTAAATGTTTTACTGGCCAATTCGTCTACATGTGGAATAAAGCTCATTTTAGAGTCAACAGTTGTACCTTAACCTTTTATTTGGTTAACTCTATTTAAAATAGATTCATTTATCTTGTAGACATAAATAATATTTGATGTTTTAGTTGTAGTTTTGATGTAGTTCCGAATGCTGTACCTATTTATATTCGTATAAATGTGCAGGTCATCGTTGTTAGTTAAGTTTCTGTGTATACCTGTGTGGGGGGCGCGGGCACCCTCACGTCGTAGAACCTCTGCGTGAAGGCGGGCGCGTGGTCGTTGAGGTCGGCCAGTGTGACGCGGACCCGCGCGCTGCCCGCCAGCCGCCCGTCGCTCACCGACACCTCCAGCGCGTGGCTGGCGGCCGCCTCGCGGTCCAGGGTGCGCCCGGTCGTCGTGATCAAACCTGCCGCACACATTACATATACTATATTAAATGACAAATACACTGTGTGTATGATAGTCTTTTGAAATTGTCATACCTTCAAACTGAAAATCTTTTGAAATAAATAAATTATAGGCATGATGTTCACAATTATGACTATATATCAAATAAGCACACGCACACACATACATTCACATACAAACTATTTTTAAGTTGATTAAATTGTTTGCTTTTTCTTTTTTTTCTCTTCATTTCTTTTTTATATAAACTTTTGTTTTTTTTACAGCACCTTCAAAATCATTCCGTTTCTAAAAATCTAGTGCGCAATTAATTGTTGAGGAATCGCTGACTCTAATATCATAATTTATATTAGTTTTAGAGTCAGAGGTGTACTACAAAAGATGACAATGTAATAACCCTAGATTTAGTAATAAAGCTAAAAACAAATTAAGTACATTATATCATGGGTGTTAATAAATTATTATTATTATTATGATAGCACTATACCCGTGTACTCGTCTATAGAGAACAGTCCGTCCGGGTTCCCCGCTACGATGGAGTACCGCAGGCTGGCGGGTGTGGGCGAGGCGTCTCCGTCAACCGCCACGACCCGCGCCACGCTGGTGCCGGCCGCGCACTGCTCCACCACGCTCACCGAGTACTCCGCGCGCTCCGGCCACGGGGACATGTCGTTCACGTCCTCCACCTCTATGTACACCTGCGACCACACGCTCTGTACACTACACTACTGTCACCGGTGGATTATAAGGCATTGTAATAAACCTGTACAATTATACCTCGACACAAGAATGACGCGGTACGAGGCCGTGATCCTGAGCACAAACTGTGAGCCAGTAGTGAGCGGTCGTCTCCCGATCTAATGGTGTTTGCGTCCTCACGACACCTAATAAACAGGATCAGGCGTTATCATAGGTTTAGTTTTAAAATAAATCTGTTAAACATCAGATGAAACATAGTAAAATTAAGTAAGATTTTTTTGTATCAGAAAACGAGGACTGAGAAGAATCTAAAGCACATATTATTTCAATCGGGAAATTTGAATGCGTACCGGTATCGTCGATAGAAAAGTGTGCTTTCCCGGAGCCAGCGACGATGTAATAGGCGAGCCGTGAGTCTCTGCCGGGCGGGTCGGCGTCCGTGGCGGCCGCCGTGAGCACCGCCGTGCCGGGCGGGGCGTCCTCCGGGACCGAGGCAGCGAGCGCCTGTCGTTCCGCAAACAGAGGCGTGTACGCATTTTCATCGACGTCTGCTACTTCTACTATGAGAGTTGCTTCCGACCACAAGGCCGGTCGCCCACCGTCTGTTGCACGAACTGTGACGCCGTACACCTATGTATATACATAGAGTATATATGTATATTTTGATAGGAAATAAAGTAAACACTGAATGGGTTATTTGTTATATATTATGGAACAATGTAATATACTTCACATTTACCTGTCTTTCCTCAAAATCTAGTCGTTTTGCTGTACGTAAGGTTCCAGAGGTACTATCAACGGTAAAAGTTATATCATCATTTGCTTGGTCGGGTAAAGAATATGAAACGATTCCACCGGCTCCTAAATCCGGGTCGAACGCTTCCAAGACGGCAACCAGTGTTCCAATGGGGACATCCTCTCGTATACGGGCGCTGTAGGCTGATAATGAAAATTTTGGCGCATTGTCGTTTACATCGTCCACTGCAACCCGAACTAAAGCCTCGGCTCTCAGTCCGCCTCCATCCGTGGCGCGTATCGTTATCTCATACAGAGCTCTCCGCTCCCTGTCTAGCGGCGCACATACTAATAAAACACCACTTTCCCTATCGATACAAAACTCATCTTCACCTCCACCGCTTAGAGTGTATGTCACGTGACCATAATCACCACTATCGCGATCAGTAGCATTTGCATGGAATATGGCAGTCCCATTGATGGCATTTTCGGTAACTCTGAAACTGGCCAATGTTTTTTCAAATTTTGGAGGGTTGTCATTTACATCGAGGACTGTTACAGGCAGTAACCTGGAGGCTGACCGCTGCGGATGGCCGAGGTCATATACAGATATATTTAAATAATATTCACTTTCCCGTTCTCGGTCGAGGTAGCCGATAACTTTTAATTCACCAGTAGCGGGATCTATACGGAACGCCGAGTCGGCGTCACCTCCAGATATGGCATATACTAGAAGACCGTTGTATCCTAGATCTCTATCGCGGGCCCGAAGATGAACCAGCGATGTACCGAGGGCTACAGATTCGTTAACTTTTATTTCCACTGGAAAATCAATAAATTCTGGGTAATGTAAATTTTCACCGTATCGACTCGGAGCAAGTGGGAAATCTTCAGCGAAATCAATCGGTGCGTTACTGCGTTCGGCAGCAGCTAGTAATTCTGTCAATCGGCGAGCTACACCAGTATCTCGGCACTCCAGATTGGCTGAATCTGAACTACTACTGCCACCAGCGCTTCCACTTACTAGGTGTAATGTCAGTGTTGCAGCATCAGCGAAATGAGTCCCATCAGTCGCAGTAACATTAAGGATTCTAGTTTCGGTGCGTAGATCACTTAGATCACAAGCTAATATAAGTACACCTGTACTAGAATCAAGAGAAAAACAGTTGTCTTCATTTCCACCTATAATACGATATGATACGACATCACCAGAGTCGAAATCTATAGCAGAAAGTGTTACAATTTCTACACCAATAGCAAGACTTCGGGATAAATAACCAACACAGTCCACGCGTTCAAATTGTGGTCTGTTGTCATTGACATCTTCGAGCCTGACAGTCAAACGCATTTCAGCTTGGCGGCGATATGGTAGTCCCCAATCACTCGCGCGAATCTGTAATATATATTCTCGTCGCATGCTTTCATAATCTAGTAGTCTGGTCGTCCTTACAGCGCCTGAAAAATGGTCTATTTCAAAAGGTACCGGTTGTAAATTTGCAATACTGTATGAAATGTATGCATTTTCTCCCGAATCAGCATCACGTGCGACAATTCTGGCCACGATCACACCAGTGGCACCATTCTCTTGTAGAGAAACTTCAATTTCTTCCCGTTCAAAAACAGGATCATTATCGTTAGCATCAATTATAGCAATTTTGACCTTAGCAGACGATTGTTTTCTAACTCCAGCATTACCTTGATCTATTGCAGACACGGTAAGAGTGTATAAAGATTTTTCTTCAGCATCCAACGCAATTGCAGTGTATAAAACACCAGTGTCTGGATTTACTATAAACTCTCCACCTTCATTTCCTCCAACTATTTCAATATAAACACGGGCGTTGTTTCCTTGATTTCGATCACTTACTTTAAGCCTGATTACTGGAGTATTAGGTGGTGCAGTCTCTGGTAAGCTTGCTTCATAAATTTCACGACTAAAAACAGGTGAATTATCATTAATGTCTAGAAGCGTTATTGGTAGCGTCAAGTAGGAAGATCGTGGTGGCTTTCCCGCATCCGTTGCTTTAAGCGTAAGATTATAGCCAAGCGGAGCGTTTTGTCGGTCTAGCAACGCATGCGCTATTATATCATATTCTCCTTGTTGCGCTGAGTTTTTTACTCTAAAATGGCCATCTGGATCGCCGTCAACAATTTCCAAAGAAGCAATTCGACCATGTTCTCCAGTATCCTTATCGGTCACTTCAACAATTGCATAAATTTCAGCTGAAGAATTTTCCATTAGTACTGGCAGGTGACGAACATTTAGTTGAGGGGCGTTTAAATTAGCTTGAATGACATGTACTAACAGTGTAGCGCGCGCTGCTGGAGCTTCCGTACCGTGCGATATAAGCGAGGCTCGATCGTGGGCTAAAACTGTAACTTCGTGACGAGAACTCTCCATAATAGACAATGATCTCGTGATTGTCACCACGCCACTCGTAGGATGCACAGCAAACCGGTCCGTTTTTTCAGCTAAGCTATAATAAATTTCACCATTAATGCCCAAGTCAGCGTCTTCTGCGGAAACTCGAGCAATACTTGAATGTAGTGGAGTATCTTCGGCTACCAGGGCTTCATATTGCGTCGGATAAAAAAGCGGACTGAGGTCGTTTTCATCGGTCACCTCAACAACCACCGTCGTGTCCGCTTCTAGCTGTCGTCCATTCGGAAAGTGTGCTGTGGCTCTTATTTCTAAACGAAATAAATCCTTCCTTTCACGATTCAAAACATCGGCGTTTCCTGTTCGTGTGCGTATAGACAAGAAGCAAAAATCGCCAACAACTCTCTCCTCCGCCTTAAAGAACTTGTCCCGGTCGCCATGTCTAATTCTAAATCTGACTCGAGTGTCTGGCGACGGTAGATGTAGTCCCATGGGGTCAGCGGCGGGCGGTTGTACGGTGTATGTTCTCGGCGGACTGTTCTCTGGAATGCTCACGTTGTACAGAGCATGTTTGAAGGCCAAGACAGCCATGGGGGTGGTGGGAGGTCCCGGCCCGGCGCCGCGCACCCCGCTCAGCAGCGCCAGCACCAGCAGCACGCGGCCGCATTCCATCTCCTGTCACGATCTCTGGAATGATAGACGGTGTAACGATTATGATCATGATCATTAATGTACGTAGGGTTCATTGAAGAATATTTGTAAGTCTGTAAGCGCTACAACATAAGTTGCGAGTATTCATTGAAAAGAAATAATTATTGATACTAGCTTTCTGCCCGCAGCTTCGCCCGCATGGAGTTCGGTTATATCGCGTTTCCAAGAGAACCTTTCAGTCGGGGATAAAAACTATCCTATGTTTTTTCTCAAGGTCAACTCTATCTCTGTACCAAATTTCAATAACATCAGTTCAGTGGTTTAGGCGTGAAAGCGTAACAGACAGACAGACAGAGTTACTTTACATTACATTTATAATATTAGTAGGGATTATTTACAACTATATCTTATTTACAACGTTTATAATTATTTTTAAACAACATATGCACTCCCGACGTTTCGGTTATTTTGTAGCAATTAGGATCTCAGTCAGATGATCTGTCATCTTAAAACGTCGGGAAAAATTATAGTTTTACTTAAATTCATTACGGTAGCCGAACGTTTCTATAGAAGAATAATGTGTCTTTATAAATATATAATTTCTATATCAAAAAGTCGAGAATTAATTTTAAGGTAAGTATAAAGTTATTTGTGACTTTCCCTAAAAAAAAAAATGTGTGTTAATGGAAATCACTGATTTAATTATCAAAGTTGCAACTGTCATATAAGAAATCTATTTTCATAAAGGGTAATGTCCATTTTTGGCCTAGCGTGAACAAGTTGCTATCAAAAAAGCAAGTTTATGAAAAAAATACATTTTTTTTAGCTAGCCATTCTATTGTTGTTTGAGTGTACATTTGTGTTTTATTGAAAAAATATTTTTAAAGTATCTTCATTGATTTGCTTTATTGATCCACGTGTTGCGTCAAATCGAATCATCTCGCAGTACTTAATACAACTATAAGTATTTAATACAAAAAAAAAAAATTATATTTGTTTTTAATTAGTTTCGTCATTTAAAACGTTTTATAATCTATAATATGAAGAATGTTAAACGTAATCATATCTGTTTTCGATCGATTTTTTAATGATTTTTTTCTATTGCAACACTAATAAAACAAAAAATACAAATTGACATTGATGTGTCACAGACTGATTGTTTACATTCGCTTTATTTACTTACATTGAGAGTGTTGATTTATTATGGATTTTGTTTCAACGATTGTTTATTCATTATGGACTCCGACCTATCTTTTTCCAATGACCCCTGCACATCTACGGACCCCGAATTTCGCTCAAACGATGACCCTGGCTTTTGTATTATGGACTCCGATCAAGGCATAAACGATGACCAACACTCATGTAATATGGACCCCGAAATTAGCTCCATCGCTAACCACGGCTTTAATATGGACATTGAACAAAACCAAAGCGTGTGTCATGATAGTCTGCACACAGAAGAAGTGACTTCTTACCAATCCGTATCTCTGAGATGCATAAACTGTGGAACTGATTTGATAGAGCGAAGGCGACATAGTCTAGATCTTAATCAGGTTCAGTCTATTATAAGACAGTGGATAGCTCCTCGACGAGTAAGTGTCAATTTAATTAATTATTTAAATTACTCGTTTTTTAATAGATATGTATTGTATATGCTATTCCTATAATGCAAAATGAGGTTTTATTGTTTTATATAATTATAATCCTTATATACAGTTGTATTATAATAAATGAAAAGATGTTTACTCCTAACACATTAGCTGACTTTGTTATCGAAAATAATTTAAATAGAAGGCAGGGAGATTTTCAACCTATAAATGTAAACATGGACAGTTTCATATTTCCAAGAATAGAATATAATGATCTTATATTAATTGCATGTGGAACATACCGACTAAAACAAGCTTGTATGTATTATGCGCAGGACATAAGAGGCGATGGTTCCTATAATATAGAAATATGTAGAAATATAGCCAGCGACCTATTGGTTGACTACCTGATTCCTTTGGCCAACTGTAGATTATTGCATGGAAAAATACAAAGCAGGCATGTAAGTCGAAAAATATATTTTATATACATATTATATGAAAATAATCACAATGGTAAGGAAGCTATAAAGGAATATTATTGTAATTGCATGGTTGGCCGAAGGACAGTGGGTTGCTGTGCTCATATAATGACTATTTTATGGTTTTTAAGTCTGGCAAGGTATCAGGAACACATTTCATCACCTGTCCAATTTCTTGAACACATATTAATAACATATGATGTCTCAGAATAAAAATAAATCATAAATAATGTTGTTTTATTTCACTTTAACCTGTTTTTTCTCACATGACAAAAATCTCGTTTTAAACATTTTGATAGAAAATTAAGTTCATATTCTCATTATTACTAGTTAGTGCTTTTAATTACAGAAAATATGATAAAATGTCTGTTCATGTCAGGTCAAAGTCCCCATACTAAGTGGACAATCTCCTTTATGAATTATATGAATTACTTACTTTTTACTTCTTCAGTGTTACTTACATTTATTAACATATGATAATTTTACGGAACTTTCAAGGAAATGTTTAGTTTTATTCGGGTAATATTAATGAACAAATGTTAATTATCGTATACTTTTAATGTGAACAGTGAACCGTATAAAGTCATTTAAAGTTGGTTAAATTGAAATAATGAAAAGGAAGTTCAACAAGTAATGGTTGTAACCCGTACCTCATGTGGTAGAAGAGTGGCGGGCTCGTCTCCCGACCGCAGATGATCTGTAACAGACGAATGACCGGTTAAGACAGTTCTCAGACTATATGACTAGTGTAACACGTAACGTACTATTGTGTATTAATATAGTAAACACTAACTGACTGACAGCACGATCCTACCGATATATATAAACTAAGTATACAGTCTGTATGAAAAATGTCAACCCCCTTAACTGCGTTATCAGTATCGAAAATGGAACACAATCAAACAACTTACATTTACAAATTCTTCAATAAAAATAATAAAATTAAATATTTCAAATTTTTATTTATTTCAAATGTTATTTTACACATTTTATACATTTATTGCTTCAATACCATCGAAAAATGAATTTCATTGGTGTTGTTGTTTTACAAAAAAATATGTATACCTTTGTTAGAGGACATACATATAATTATATATTGTTGTTACAAGTGCCTATTCAAACAAATATTAGCACAGTATTGGAATCTCACTATATGATATTACAACAGCTTATTTCCTTAAACTTATTATATTAATTACTTATAATATTTATAATTATGCTTATACATATAGGTATTCTAATGTCACATAAATGTATAAACTTTAAACTTTTGGCGCGATTTCCAGGGGCGTCCACACTAAGCAAGCTTGTGTCGTGGATGCCTTATTTACGATTAACTATAACAAGCTCAAAAGTATTTAATAAATATACACACACACACACACAAATATACATACATATATTAAATGATTATTATATGTAGAGTAACCAATTAATGTTTGTACCCACTGGTATAACACGATGACACTCAATGGCGCCATCACACCTGCTGCGCTATTAGTGACGAACTCGAAGTCACATTCACATTATTAAAAATATCGATATTTAAAAAAATCATAACAATAAATAAATATTTAATATTCATATTATTTCGATACTTATTTTGATATATCAAACATTAATATTATTTTTGATTGTAAAACACCATTTTAACAGAAATAGATTAACGATTTATCCTAATAGTACAACATATGTAGTTAATTTACCTGAACAAGTTTCAAATTATAATATTTATTATTAATAAAAGTTATTTTAAATGAAATTATTTTAATGTGAAAAGCATAACTATTTATAGCAATATTGAAAATGTCGATAGAATATTTATCGATATACCTAATTTTTTAAACTTGCAAATCTCTATTCGAAAAACTAACAAAATAATAATAATAACGCCGGCGGCCCGGCGCCTGCGATGAATGGCCGCTCATGCGCCCGCGCGACTATACGGTGCCTTAACCGTTTATGGGTCAGATTTTTGAAACATTTTTTCAAATAATGTCGATTTAAAATTTATTTAGCCTATGGACTGTAACTGACCTCTGTTTGATATTTTTTAAGTTCTACTATTTTTTATGATATTGCTTACACTTATATATTGTATACATGCCTTTAAGGGAGGACACAGTTTTTAGAACACCCTGCGTAATGTAATGTTTTTGTATTCAATATAAATAAAAGCACGCAATTTAATGTCCCGTTCGCATATTAAAGTTTTATTTGAAAATGTTTGATATATTTTTCTTATAAAATTATAGCTGTCTAATACTTGTGACGCTTTCCTACGCGTCAATTCAGATTATTTCATTCGGTGTCTCTTTAAGTTGAGTGCACACATAACATTCAAACAGTGGATATGAGCACAGTCCAGAACGATATATTGATGAATTAAGATGTGTCTCCTCAGACTGTATGGAAGATGATTTTGAACACTACAATCTTGTTAGTCGTCGACAGTTTTATTTATAAGACCTGTGCTGTCACAGAACTTAACTGTTGTAGAAAACTAAAGGTTCATTAAGATAAAACCTAAATATATGTATACAGACTGTAATAATAATAATAATTACGTATATTCAAAAATATATAAAAGAATTGAAGCCATCCAACTCTGTATATTTTACGATGCGCGTGTTACATTGTTCCTCAAATATTTATTAATCGAATGAGCCAGCATTACGTGAGACTTACAGTAAACAAACTTACTTTTAAATCTCACTAATAACACTACTGATATACAATGTTCTATTGACATTAATCCTCGAACAGCTATTTGTAAACAATCAATGAACCTAATTGGATTAATAGTAAAAGAAAAAATATATAGCAAACGTTCCTAGTATTTAAAAAACAGAAACTGTCTCATAGAAATCAAGGAAGATGAATACAAGGCTCATTTATGTTTGTCCCACTCATCGAACAAACCTACTGTAGATGTTTGCTTCAAGTTATTTAA